ATTGGAATGGCTGCTGGAGAATAATGTCGGCTTACCAGATTTTGTGAATGGCTTCCGTAGAGATCGATCATCTATAGACGGTGTTGTAGATCTAGTTTCTTCATTTGAAAAAGAAAGACAGCGTCGGATATTGGTAGGGGCCATTTTCTTAGATATAAAGGGCGCGTACGATAGCGTCTATCATGAGGCCATTCTTGACGCACTTGAAGACATCGGCGTAGGTGGCCGACTACACGCATGGATAGTGAGCTATCTCAGAGGGTGTACCATTTTTATGTCGACATCTGACGGTGACACGGCCAGGCACCTGGTAAGCCGTGGAGTTCCGCAAGGCGCCGTACTGAGCCCCATGCTTTTAACATAGCACCCATTGGCCTTGAAGCGGAGCTTCCCGACGTTGTCAGAATCAGTGCGTATGCGGACGACATATGCATATGGGCATCTGGAGCAACGCGACTACAACTGCGAGCAAGGCTACAACAAGGCACATCTAAGTACTTACGTCGTCAGGGCCTGGAACTTTCAATAGCAAAATGTGCTGCATTGGCATTTATGAAGAAAGCAATGTCGCGGTACCCAATCTTCGCTCACGGAGCAGTGATTTTCGCGGTCAAGCAACACCGCGATTTAGGGGTCGTCATTGATCGCAACCTGCCCTGGTCAAAGCATGTGACTGTGCGAAACAAACTAATCAGTTTTGTGTATGTTCTTCGTGTTATAGCAGGACTGAGATGGGGCCCTTCAGAGAAAAGTCTTCTGCATTTATACAAGGCATTGTTTGTGGGATATATATGGTACATCTCACCTGTACTTTCCAGCATGTGGGCAACGTGCCTTTGTACTTTAGAGAGCCTTCAGGCACGAGCACTGAGAATATGTCTTGGCCTGCCACGGTGCACGTCAACCTCTGGCACTATAGAGGAGTCCCACACCTACCCTATACAGATTTACAAGTCCTGTGAGCCTCTTCGAGTGCACCTTCGTCTGCTAACCCGACATGCACAGTACCCGTTGTCTTCGCTACAAGTGGACCGACCAGGCTGTACCTATTCGCGATGCCTCGATACGCATAGGCACATGATCCCTTCAGGCTTTGCACCTGCCGTAATCCCTGCAGTGCCTCGATGGACATTGACTAAACCGCTGGTGTGCCTTCACATACGTGGAATTTCGTATTAGTCGCGTGGTTCTTATATTGCCCTCAAGCAACTCACCTTGGCACATTTGGATGGCCGATACAGCGACTCTGTGCAAATTTACATCGATGGATCCGTAACTTCATCCGCCTCAGCTGCAGCCTTCGTGATCCCTCAACTTGGTATTTCCCAACAGTACAAATTAGATCACATGTCATCTTCGACAGCTGCAGAACTAGTTGCTATACAAGAAGCCATAAAATTTGTGAACGACCAAGCACCGCGTAAACGGACAATTCTCTCTGGTGCAAAATCAGCGCTTCAAGCTATTCATTCTAGCTCAAGAAGCGGCCAATTTTACGAGTTAGCGTTAGCAATCGTCCAAGCATTTGACCTAACACACAGGAGCGGTCACTTGATTACACTCCGATGGATTCCTGGACACTGCGGCCTGGTTGGCAACGAAACAGCCGAGCAAGAGCGGCAGTATACAACGCTCCTATGTACGTAAAAGCACCGTATTCGTGAAGTGACGTCAGCACATTGTTGAGATCGCTCATGCACGTATGCGCTGCCATTTATTGGTCGCTACCAGATCACCGGAACAAGCGTCTGCGGCAAACAGACCCCGGTATGACTTTTCGTCTTTCAGATAAAATCAGCCGAAGACATGCTAATATACTGCACCGAATTCGCCTGGGCGTCGCCTTCACTCGCCACTACACCCACCTAATCGGCCGTGCGGACAGCCTGAATTGTGAACGCTGCCAAGTGGACGAAACGATAGCTCACATATTTTGTGACTGTGCGTAATACGTGGCGCAAAGAAAAATGCTAACTGCAACGTTGGCAAGCATCGGACGAACGCCATTAAGTGAAAGCCACATATTTTCAGCAATGAACGACCAAACAGTGTCAAAAACTGCTACAAAGGCTGTTCTAGACTTTATAAAAAGCGCTGGACTAAATACTAGACTGTAGGGTACTATGCTAAGTGGCTACTGTACATACGCACCACATCTTCTTGTCCCCATCATCACCCTTCATCCCTCTTTCCTTCCCCTTTCCCTTATCCCCTGTGTAGAGTAGCAGGTTAGAGCGAACTAGCTCAGGCCGACCTCTTTGTCTTCTAATAAATTCTCACTCACTAGGAAAGCGTTTGAAACACTTGCCTTTTTGAGCATCGCGTAGCACTGTTAGCGCAGCGTGACAAACGCTACAGTGCTTAGAATTACTTGTGTGTGTCTTCTCAAGGCACACATACAAAACACCGACGCGTTGTTATGGTGCCTTAGATATGCGCAATAATTGCTTTTTAATTGACAATCGCACAAGTATGAACGCTGAAACTTGAGCAATATTGGTGGGCGCTGCGGATGGGGTTGGCCGTTTGAGGTGTCGTTTGGTGCCATTAAAAAGATTGTTACCGGGGACAAACAAACAAATGTGCAGACAGACAGAAAAACAGACCAAGATTTTGGCGTCAAAGGTCTCAAAGAAAGACTATCGTCTTTAAAAACCAACTCGCTCGCTCGATTCCGTGCCAACCTGTTGTGCACCCGCGATCTCCGACGACAGCGCAGCTCTGGCCGACCGGCTCGCCCTCCACCTTCTCCTAACGCCGTGAAGCTCTCGCTAAGTGGTGCCACGTCCTCGGACTACTGCGACCATGTCCACCTTTCTGTATCTTCTTTTTACTTCTGTATGTGGGTGTCCTCATCTCTATCCCTATCCCTTTAATTCTCCCTATCCATTTTAATGCCTCCTTACCCCTACCCTCGTGAGCTACTCTTGAGGTGTCGCACTATGATGCAGACAGTTACGGGACTCACTTTTATCTTCTTTTCTCTCTTTTAAGAATCACTTACAACCAAGTGGGGCGCAGACGGGTGGTCGTACCGTGGATTTGCCTTTATGCGCTATTGCCTTGCTTGCTTGCTTTCTTGTACCTCTGTTCTGGCCCTCATCCAATAAGAAGGAGGCCAAGACGCCGGCAGTTAATCTAAGTGAAAAATTAATGCTGGGTAAAAGAAAAAATGCTTACTTCTTTTAACAGGATATGGTAATTTTTCACAAGGAGGAAAAAAAAGAAATGAAGTAATATAATTTTTGAATGACCTGGAATTATTCCATTTACATGATCCTTTAGTAGCTTAAATTATTACTGTGTAATGATGAAATGCTAGATTTAAGCTTGGTTTTGAAAAAGAGCTGATCAATGACTAAACAAAGTAATTTCAGTGATTCCTCCTGAAATCTTTACGCAACCCGCGTGATTTCAGCCTGCTTTTAGCACTGCCTGCAGAAGCAATTTGAAACATTCTGCAACTCAAGTGATCTAACAGAGCATTTGTTATTGGTTCGCCTTAGATCAAGTGAAGATGTTTTGTGAATACGTCATCATGTGACGTCACGTAAAAAAATGTTCGCAGCCTGTGACATCTTGTAGATGTCACCAGATGACGCCATAGCATGATGCTGATCTTTTGCATCACTCGCGTTGACGCCACCGATGCCGGCGGTCACTTTCCGCGTTTGATGGGACATCTACGGCTTCGGCCATACTTATTGATTACCACAGAAATCTTCAGGAATGTGTCATGTCATCCGCAAAGGGCGCTGTCTTTGCAGCCGCCACACTTGCAGTCTCACGGGCGAAAATCAACGTACACAACAACCAATGTTCTCAGCAGGGCGAGTTATGTTCATTGTGTTCTAAGGAAACGGGTTAGTAGTGTGCAGCGCCGTCAAATCTCTTACGCTGTCATATGCCGGACCACCGACGCACCGGTGACGCCAAGTGATGCACTCGCTGTCGTTTCTTTGCGGGATGTATATGAGCTCAGTGAATACCTCCTATTACCCTGCCTCGCATTACCACTGGTTAAAAAGTTAACAATCTTAATTTCTACAATTATTGCTGGAATAGTGGGCCTCAGTCGTCATAAAATGTTCGCAGCTACAGCAAAAAAAAGAACAAAAAAACTAGCGATGCAGCGACAAAATATCGCATTCCCTCTTTTTTTTCTTTTTTAAGGATTTTTGGACACGTTTTCAAACAGCCGGTATTTCATCATTAGTGCGTGAGCGTTCGAGTTCACCTGAATAAAGCGGTTCTTCACAACTTGTGGAGGCGCTGGTTTAAACAGCGAAGTTCTTTAGTCAAATATGTAAATTTAGTTGTGGCAAGGTATTTTCGCCTCGCAGTAGCACTTATGCGCAAAGACGACAGGAGCCAGACAGAGCATTCTTATAAAACATCCGCATTTATTAATAAAATTGTTTTCGTGGTTAATCACGAGCACCTCTAGCTTAGCGTATTCGTTAGTAAAGCGTCTAAGCCCGCTTCAATAACGAACTCTATTTGGTCGGAAATGTGCCGCTACACGTTTATGGCACCCAAGCGCTCAGCGAGATACGATTGCGGTATTCAGAAAGCGTTCGCGTTTTTCTTCCTTGCTTTTTTTTTTTTTAGCGGCTCCGTCGAAACTCGTATTCCTCATCTTACAGGCAACGAAATAATGCAAAAAAAAAACCTCTCAAACGACGGGGGTCAAAACATGCAGCGTTTGTGGCTTCACGTCCGGGAAACGCTAACATTGGGAGTTGACTTTTTTGCGCATAAAAGGAAAAAAAAATGAATGAAATATACAACAAAGCGCTATCCTTCTACCTGATGTGCGCTCTGCTGCGCTGGAAGTTTTTGGCGGATTACCAACGCGGCCAAAAATAAGTGCAAGTGCCATGCGTTCGCTGACGCTTGCGCGTATTCAGCAGGTGCGTGGGAGTAAATTGTGCGAAGCTGGGAAATCGAGACAAGGGGCGTTTTCACGCGCCTCGGTGATTCATTGCAAATGAGGAACTTGAGATGAACGTATGGGTCTATATCAAATCGCGCGTCTTTCTTTTATGGCACTATCCCTAGAGCGTCAGTTTCCGCCCGAAAGCCACTATCTCACCAACCAGCTCTGTCAACACTGACACTTGACGCTCGGCCGGGGCATACCCGAGATTGCAGACAGCAAGAAGGGTGCAACTGAAGCCAGTGGAACGACGCTTTTCTCCTACTCTGAACGCTTAAAAAAGCCACGAAACTCCGTGCGAGCCTTGCGCAGCTAAGGCGGATCATGGCGAAGTCACTGAACGTCTTTCTTTACCGCATCGTCTACATCTGCGCGTTGTGGTGCGTGGATCTGGCGTATCAACGTGAAGCGCCGAGCGAAAACGACTACGACGAGCAAGGCGTCAAGCTCTGGGCACTTCTAGTGGCCGGTTCGAACGGCTACTCCAACTACAGGCACCAGGCTGACGTGTGCCACGCTTACCACCTGCTGCGACGCCACGGCATCCCGGATAATCGCATCGTGGTCATGATGTACGACGACATCGCGTACGCCGAGGAAAACCCGACGCCTGGTGTCGTCGTGAACCACATCAACGGCTCCAACCTCTATCCGGGAATGGTGAAGGACTACACGGGTAATCTGGTCACCCCGGAAAACTTTCTAGACGTTCTACAGGGTCGGAGACCGCGCGACGGAGGCACGGGAAAGGTGATCGCCAGCGGACCGCGAGACCACGTGTTTGTGTACTTTGCCGATCACGGCGCTCCGGGCTTGATCGCATTCCCAAACAGCGTGCTGCACGCCAGGAACTTGAGTGACGTCATCAGGAAAATGCACAGCAGGGGCCAGTTTGGCAAGATGGTGATATACGTCGAAGCCTGCGAATCGGGTTCCATGTTTGCCGACGGTTTGCTGCTGAACAACGTTAGCGTGTATGCCACGACAGCGGCCAATCCCGACGAGCCTTCCTACGCCTGCTATTATGACCCCATTCGTGAAACTTACTTGGGCGATGTCTACAGCGTGAAATGGATGGAGGACTCTGACATAGAAAACTTGAGGAAGGAGACTCTAATAGATCAGTTCAATATTGTCAAATGGGAGACGAACACGAGCCATGTGCAGGAGTACGGAGATCTCAACGTTGGCGCCATGACAGTGAGTCAGTTTCAAGGAAGCAACGTGACAGAGCCTGTCATCCACCCAACGGTGCCCTTGGACGAAGTCGACAGTCGCGACGTACCAGTAGCTGTTCTTCAAAAGAAGATCAAAGCAGCTACTGATCCCAATTTAAAGAACGCCCTTGAGAGGAAGTTGGAAAATATTTTGGCTAAGCGGTCCCTCGTTGTACAGAAGGTCAGTGAAATAGTCCAGCTGCTTACCTACGGAAATGCAGAACAAGCAGAGATGTTGTTAACTGCAAAGAAACGCATATCAGACTTCGACTGCTACGAGAAAGTGATCGACAGCTTCAGCAGGAAGTGTTTCGCGCTTGCAGCCAGTCCATACGCATTGAGCCAACTCCATGTTTTTGCCACTGCATGCGACACATTCCAAGCCAGTGAGATTAAGGCAGCTATCAGTGCTATGTGCACGTCACCTTCAGTAAGAGGTATTGTCTAATTGCTAAGTTCGCTCCCTTTAATATTTAAAAATGCAGCAGCAATAAATGAAACTCTAGTTCCAGCAGATGTGCATATTCGTCACTTCTTAGTATAAGCAAAGGCACATTTGTCCTTGTGAAACATACAGCGAAAGTGTGTGTTGAAGCGAACATCAAGTGGCTGAACGATTTGTATGCTTGGCATTACTGAACATATGCTGCTATGTGGTTGTAACATAGAGCGCGGCAGTCAAACAAGTCGAGGTTAAGCTTTTTTAGTGAACGGATTCGTGCCGAGCCAAACAACAATCTAAGTGCGGTGAGAACAGCAAGCATATGGTAGTCGAAATTATGAATCTAAGCTGACATGCTACGGCTTTTACACGCTTCATACATTCCAAATTAACCTGTGGTGCTCGCCCTAAGTTTATAATGTGCATGGCCTCGTGCGTTGCAGAGACACTCTTTTTAACGGGGGGTGGAGGGTGTTGAAATCAATAACTTCAATACTTCAGTAGTTGCTGATGTTTAGGCGCGAAATTTTCTTTAGATTCGCGTTCTCGCAGTTACCATACCGAAGTTGTGTTCGTGCCATTTCGGGAGGCCCACAGCTGTGATCTGCGGAAATGTTGTAGGCCCGTGTGCCAGATTTGGGTGCACGTTAAAGAACCCCAAGTGGCCAAAATTTCGGAGCCCTCCACTACGGCGTCTCTCACAATCAGATGGTGGTTTTGGGACGTTACACCCCACATATCAGATCAACAACTTTGATCTGCCTTACAAGCGCACTGAGAAAGAGTGCCTCAGTTTTCAGCAAATCCGTGCAAGCGACAATTCTTGGAAAGAAGTACCATGCAAAGGCGGCTGGTTTGGAAGTGCTCCGTGAGATTTCTTTTTTGATTATGCGGGTGCAAAGTCACCTGAATATTGTACAATAGACGTTCCTCGGTGAACATAATGAATGGGGAATAATATGCCATTGAAGCTCTTTATGCTGACTTGACGGCCACTTAGCGTTAAAGGACCCCTGACAGCTAAAGTTTTGTTTGCGAGTTTTTTTTTTTCAGTAATATTTATCTTTTTGTCTGGTAATACCGGTATTATATCACAACGCATCGTATAGTCAATGTTAGCGACGTTAATTAGGAACGACTTTGCGTCAGTTTGAAACGCCCGCCTAAATACCGTTAGAAACAATCGCCCCAGAGTGGAGCAGCGCCTTAGACTGCTTTCAATGGGGGAACCGTGGCCTCCGCGATCGGCTGCCGGCGGCCGCCGGCAGCCGATCGTGGAGGCCACGGGGGAACCCGCGTGCGGTGAAGAATGAGACGATGTGGGTGCTTTTAGCGTATCCCCCTCAGAAAAAAAATTAGCCCCGTATCTGCATGTTACACAACAAATGTCGTCGAAAGACTAAAGTCTTGCGTCTAGAGAGAGTGAACAAAACGTTTACTTGATGTTCTGCGCTAGAAAATCGGTGAATGGTATTCTGGAGGCGCTGCGTTAGAGTGCCTCGAGCGTGCAGCGGAGGCGAACGAGCGCATCAAGTCATGTCACACGTGAGACATGAGCGCTATCTGGCAGTTATCTTGGAAAACGAAGCGCACGTCGTGCGCGCCCGTCTCGGAGGTGACAAGGTGTAGAACGCAAGGCGGCGGGTAGGTGCCACCACCGTGTCGTCTTAGCAAAGCGTTAGAAACACTTTCGTTTTCGTGCTAGCATTGCATGGTCAGCGCAGCGTGATAAACGCTACGGTCCTTATAATTACTTATGTATGCCTTTTCTAGTAAAAGACAAACATACAGAATATTGACGCGTTGTTATGGTGCCTCAGATATGCGCAATAATTGCTTTTTAATTGAAAATCGCACAAGTATGAACGCTGAATCTGCGGATGGGGTCGGCCGTTTGGGGTATCGTCTGGTGCCGTTTAAGGTTCCGTTAAGGGCGGACAAACATACAAAAATACAGACAAAACAGACCAAAATTTTTGCATTGAAGGTCACCAAGAAAGACCTTCGTCTTTAAAAGCAAAGCATTCCTGGCGTAAGTAGCCAAAACCACCTTGAGAGCAGCCAGACAACAGAGCGAGAGGGATGACGAACAATAGTCTTCGCCAGGTTCCTGTCGGGGTATTGTGCGCGCCCCGCAAATGTTGACCCTGCAGCGTCACAAGGGGAGTCCCGGTCTACGTCAAACCACAGAAAATGCTGACTGCGCCTGAATACTCAGAAGAGCACGCACCCTCACTTTAAACCAAAATAAAATAGCTTCTAGGCTACGCTCGCCACTAATAATCGGTCAGAGGTGGCCGCGCATGCGACTATCAAACAACACAAGCATCTCGAGTTTCCAAATTTGGTGTCAGGGGTCTTTAAATAGTGTTTTCTCCAAAGCACTGCTTTTTGTCAGAAAAGGGACATTTCTTTTGTAATTGCTGCAGCTATCAAGAGCAAAAACTTGTGACTCGTTTCTTAATAACATGAACCCTTTCTGAAGTAAAAGAGTGTCGTTGCCACCAAATTTTATTTTTTACAAAAGATTTCTTCAAAGAAAAACAAAATCTTGAATAGCAGTAATCAGAGATGCAAGTTTTTCACTGATAAATTATCACGCCTAAAATTATTATTTTTGCTCAGAAGGGCGCCCTTGGCACATTTAACAATCACAAAAGTTTTCATCTTCCTAGGCGCCAAAATTCTCACAAAAATAAACATACGAAATATTTTTTATATTTGATATTTTCAAAATGATTCTACGTTTATCATTCAAATTTATAAAACATTTAGCAACATCTCTACTCAAGTAGCTTGCAAGTTTTGGTTGAACTTGCTTTAGAAAAAATGGCAGATCCCACGTACAGTGGTAATCGATGATTTGCGAAGTACGAATGAGAAAGGTTGATATGTCACTTTAAAATTAGTGCATCGTTGCCAGGTGGAGGTAAATGATGCCGTACATGACTTCCGTGTCATGATTATCATATTTGGATGCGTCGTTTACCTTCGATGCGTCGTTTACCTTCGTCATCTATTCACGTCACGTGATACCAAAATTTAGTATATGTGGAGGAAGCGAAACGGACGCAAGCACGCCATGAGCGTCGTATGTTGTCATGTTCTTACATAACAAGCGTGTCAGGATTATCATGTTTGCACCAGTCCCGTATTTCGTCATCCATTGACGTCACGTAACACCAACTTTGGTACATCTGGATCCAGCAAAACGGCCGCGAGCACATCATGAAGGGCCCAGTACACTCCAATGTAGCGTTGACGCGCGCGCACGCTGGGCACAGCGACGCTACGTTAGCAAAACGCCACCAGGCGCGACCAGCGTCCGTCGGCGCGGCCCGACGGCTGCTGGCGCGAAACGCATAACCAGCGCGAAATGCGACATGCTGCATTTCGAGCAGATGCGTTACCCAGACAACACTGCGTCTCCCTCTTTTCGTGACGGGGAGACACCGGACGCGCCGAAACGCGCATGCGTCAAAGCAACGCAGCCCGGTGCGTGTCTGCGAGTACTATATAGCAGGACCGGCACCTGGCGCGGCAACGCCGGCGCGCACGCGCACCGCGTCGCGCCGAAATGTATTGGCGCCTTAACTGTGGCATGTTGTCATGTCCTCACATGATACGCCACTCATAATTATCACGTTTGCACCAGTCACATACCTTCATCATTCATTGGCGTCATGTAATACCAAATTTGGAATATGTGAAGCTAGTGAAACGGACGCGAGCGCATCATAAGTGTGGCATGTAGTCGTGTTGTTACATGACACGCACGTCGTGATTATCATGTTTGGATGAGTCACTTACCTATGTCGTCCGTTCGCATCGCGTAATATCGAGTTTGGTACATGTGAAGCTAGCGAAACGACCGCGAGCGCATCAGGAGCGTAGCATGTAGTCATGTACATGCCACGCATCTCATGATTATTATGTTTGCATCAGTCACATACCTTCGTCATCCATTCACGCACCGTAATATTGGTATATGTTACACTAGCGAAACGGCCGCGAGCGCATCATGAGCTTGGCATGTAGTCATGTTGTTACATGACACGCATGTCATGATTTTCATGTTAGGGTCAGTCGCTTGTGTTCGCCATGCAAGCATGTCATACCATACAAGTTTTGCAACATGCCATGAGAACGAAACCACCACAAGAGCTGCAAGACCATGAAATGTAAATCATGACATTCATAACATCCTTGTCATGATTTTCAAGCTATGACTAGTCAGATACGTTCTTCGTACAGTCATGTTATGTCATACCAAGTTTGGTGTGGATACCATTATCGAAACGGCCACGAGAGCTAAATGTCGTAGACAGACAGACAGACAGACAGACAGACAGACGGACGGACGGACAAACGGACGGACGGACGGACAGATAGATAGACACGCTCAAAGTGACCGAAGTTTGCTAAGAAATGCTTCGCATTTAATAAAAGAGCGATGGGCAGTAGTTGATCTACACATCTTTGTTATCCCTCCCCCCTTAAGATCAACAACATTGAAGCGATATCAATGAAATCATTGTGATTTACTGGCACACAGACAGAAGTACAAAATTCAGGTAAGGACATTTCACTTTGCAAATGAATGAAAGCAAGTATCAGCCGACTTCAATGCTGCTTTGCAGTGCTCCTTTAAAGGGACACGAAATTGAAACAGCCAATACGTTTATATTGATAAATTGTAATCTGAGAACGCTGATGTCCGTGATTTCATCACAAAGGCATTTTAAAACATGAGCACATTAAGGTCAAACTTGCGTCCCTAATTTTCGCGCTGAAATCTTTGCGCCTGACGTCACGGCTTTCGAAGCCAATTTTTTGTATTTTGGCGTCAACGAAATTCATTGAAACTTTGCGTGTTATGTCTCTGGCCCTTCCGGAGGTCAATGAACCTAATGTTCAGCGATTAGAGACTACTCAGTACCTGCTAGACACTGTCAAAACTAAATAAATGCCACCCACATTTCTTGTGCGTCTTTTTGTGTGCAAGTGTGGTGATATTCGCATAGAGAAATAGAATCACGAGGTAAAATGCAGCCCATAAAAGACGCCACACAAAAGGAGGAGGACACAGGCCAAGCGCTGAACTAGCAACTGACATCTTTATTACAAAAGAGGACAACGAATACAATGGGTATCGCTGCGTGCGCATCCTCCAAACTGCACGTATTTGCAACGCCTATTCAAGTTAAATGATTTCACAATGATGTAGAAAGATGGATGTGGCCGAGATGCAATCAGCATTCTTCTTTTGTGTGTCGTCTTTATGCGCTGCATTTTTCATTATGAAGCGAAACCACCTCGCCCAGTTTTGTACGCTGCTGCAGAGAAATGGTAGTTTCAGACGAAAAGCGGGTGACGAAAAGCGAGTGTATATAGCGCCCCTTCAATGCACGATTCATATTTTTCTTGACAATGTCACTGTCTTTGCTGTTCTTGCCTTACTGGCAGGGATGTAGCCAGAAGATATTTGCGAGGTGGGGGGTTGAACAACCCCTTAACCTTCCCCGTCGGTGTGCCAATGTATTGCAAGGTCCCTAGATAAAACTTGTTTCATCTAGGGACCTTAATGTCTTGGGTGGCGGCACGCTATTTAGTGAGCATTGTTGGACTCACGAGAGAGGCGACCGTAGAAGAGTACACTTGGCAACACTGGTGTACACGCCGGCTGCCGCAGCTGGACAAGGTGTGAGCAATGGACCAAGCTCCTAAAATTCGTACATGCATTGTTGTGAGTGGAATGTGGTTCGTGCAAGACATATACTCTATAGATTTGTTTAGAAAATTTCAAATATTTACACACCCTTACAAAAGTACAAGGTGAAGTCCACACATTGCATTTTTTGAGCTGCGAAACTTATATCAGAGTCTGACTTTAGGCTTCAAAGTAGCAGCTGTGATTAAATGAGGCAGATATGTAGAAGACCTCACCTATCAATTGTGTGTTTAGGTGCCACTGCTATCTCAAACACTAATGCGATCCCGAAGGCGAGCAAGCTAGACCTACTACAGGTGCCGCTATGCTGCATCTCTTTCAAAGCAACCTCCACGCTATCAGCCCTATGCAAAAGAGTGAAAAGCAGCTTGACTGCTTGCATAAATGCCTCACACACTTTCACAACCATTACGATTCCGCCCGATAATGTTGCATTGGACGTTCCCTCATATCAGTGTCAGTATTGGTGTGGAGCAGACAAAGCAGAAAGTAGCGGATGGTCACAGCATACGTCAGCATTTTTCTGTGCGCCACCTTTATAACAAAGCACTAAGAACATACAGATTCTCATGACACATATGTGGAGTGTAACCTGCAAAAACATGTACAAGATGGTGATTGATTGATATGTGGGGTTTAATGTCTCAAAACTACCTTATGAGAAGTGCAGTAATGGAGAATTTTAACCACCTAGGCTTCTCCAACGTGCACCAAAATCTGAGCACCTGGGCCTACAGCGTTTTCGCGTCCATTGAAAATGAAGCCGCCGTCAGGCTTCGATCCCACTACCTGTAGGTCAGCAGCCGAATACCTTAGCCGCTACACCACTGCAGCGGGGCTAATACGTTTGAGGTCACAATTTGTTACGTTTAAGCATGCGCAGTCATCGTCGTGTGCAGTCACTTCCAAGGTTCCACAGGGCTCGGTTCTTGGGCCCCTATCGTTCATTATTTATATTAATGATGTCACACAGGTCATTAAGGACACACCAGTGAAGCTGCGATTGTACACTGACGACTGCGTTTTATATACTAGCGTAAATAATGCTCATGACCATGATGTTCTGAACAAAGTATTTTCGTCCTTTTGTGGTTGGAGTGCCACGTGGCAAACGAACATTAATTACCAAAAAACTGTTCAAATGACATGTACTAATAAAAAACAGCCGCTAAGGTTTAGTTATAGTTACAATGGGCACTACCTAAACTCTGTTAATACATTCAAATATCTTGGTGTTACCTACACTCAAAACCTAAAGTGGCACCATCACATTGAAACAATTTGCGCTAGAGCACTTCCAAAACTGGGATACATAAAACGAACACTCAAGCACTCTACCAAGGACTGCAAATTAACGGCGTATAAATCGCTCGTCCGACCATTGCTAGAGTACACCTCAGCGGTATGGTCACCCTATACTGCACTTGACATAAATATGCTCGAGGGCATACAGAAAAAAGCAATACGATTTATATTTGGCCGGTATGACCGCAATTTTTCTCCCTCATCTCACGCATGCTCATTGTCGTTAGAATCCCTTGCTTTCCGACGCACACTTGACCGTATCACTCTGCTACATAAGATTGTACACAGCCGCAGTTGCATTGAAGCACCGATTACTTTTTGTGATTCAGCACGACGAACCACGCGCCGATCTCACCCACTCAACATTGTTCCCTTCCAGCCATTTGTAAATTCCTTTTTTCCAGCCATTGTTGAGATTTGGAACAACCTAGATGGTTCCCTACACGAAAAACCAATTGAACTGTTTTTGAAAGAACTGCCTAACCATGTTTTGTAGTATGTTTTAAATGCTTTGTATGTTTCTTTGGTATTGCTTAATGTATGTTCGTTCCTTTTCCTAATGCACCCACTCCTGCTATGTCTCGTGTATCGAGACAGCAGTATCTATAAATAAATAAATAAATAAATAATGTACAAGATGCAACAGCTACTCTGTAGGAAACCGTATGAGCTTTGATTTCCCTGTAACCAGGGGTAAAAAATTCAACATTTTCAGGCAGTGTGTGCTACTTTATTAGACAAAGTGAGAGCATGATAGGTAGCATAGCTCTCAACTATACCTTTACATGACAATGGAAAAAGAACAACTATGAAGGCGGAGTAAGAAGTCTCCCTTGTTATATAAATGATGAATATGAAATGTTCCAACGGGGAAATTTGTGTATCGCACAAAAACTATGAAAACACAGAATTGCAGGTTGCATACTATTAACAAAAGCACATACAGACGTCGCAAGCAAATTGAAGGAAGTAAACAATACAGCTGCCATTTACTGCACATTGATGGACATACAGTAGAACTAACAACTGATAATTCATACAAAAATAAAAAAAATGAAATATTTACAAAGATAGAATTAGATGTCTATTTCACTTTGCTGTGTCAATGATGAGTGCAAAATGCTACAAAAGCGAGTTTTATAAATTATAGAATAAGCAGTATGCCAACACATAACTGCTAGTTTTGCTTTATTAATTAGAGCACATCACACTGAAATTCAACAATATGGACATCCTCAAGAAAAGTGAGCAAGGTGAACAATATTTTCGTTGCTCACAATTCATTTTCTGTCTGTCACTGTAAATAGACTGTTCAACAGATAATAAGTGCACGACATCGATCACAATTTTAAACAAAGTCGTAGTATTGGTTCAAGGCAATATCTGCAACATAAAAATTCAATGAAGGTATCCTCCATTCCCTTGCGAAGCGCAGAGACCAACAGTTCTTTGAATGCTCTCAAGCCAGAGGTTTCCATTCCTTACTATGAAAACACTGTGAATTGATTTTCACAGCCCAAGGAACTAAATGAATGTGTGCATATCTGCCCCCTTTTACCAGTGCAGCAATGTCTATACAGAGTCATTGGATTAATACAGTCCATTTAAATTCAACTATTTAGCTACTGCTTCCATGAATAAGCAACACTGCATCTTGACATAATAGCCTCGGAACCAGCACATAAGTGTGCAGTAGCAAACATCTATGCAAGAATGACTGGATGAGCATGTCTACCAAGGGGATAGTTTTTTCCAGGTTTAAATTAGTCCTGATGGGCATGCGCACAGCTTCTATGAAAACCTATGCGCTTGCCTCGGAACTTCATGGAAGCACTATAAATGCAGACAAGCCAAAAGTCTGAGAACCTCTGTTTCAACTGCCAGAGTTCGAATAACTATGAAAAACCTGAAAAATGCACTCCTATACATTGGACATGCTATTTCACTGACACATGGTGCTCTCAAGCAGCTGTTTAGGCAACAAGCCTCTTACACATCCACCGGCTCACTTTTGCATGGCCGATCAAGGACCATTGTTTCTGGCCTAGCAGCTTCATTTTTCCCACTGTCATTCTCCTCTTCCTCCTCCTCCTCATCCTCTGAACTATCTTCATCCTCAACATCTGATGTGATTGCCACTTTCAGACCAGAAAATGATGACAGACACGAGTCGCACGTCTCAATGTGGCATACACGAACACGACACTGTCGTATGTGTTTGTATTTCAAATGTTCTGTGAAGTCCTCCACACTTTTCTTACAAGCCACGCACCAAACAAGTTCTTGTAAAAAATTTAGCTGTGACGAGGCAGAGGGGGCCACTTCCATGGGATCTGCCCATTCCACTTTTATTTTGGACAGCACCGACTGAAAGGTGGGCTCTGCCCATGCACCTGAGATTTCTTTTGATTTGGAATTGGATTCAACAGGTGAAATATCTGTTGTCTTAGCTTTTACTGTAAGCGCAGAGGCCTTAGCCAAAAATGGCTGCTTTGTAGGCTGAACTACTGGCAAACAGGTCACTTCCCTCACATTGGTGTTGAGCTCAGAAGGTGACATAGCCAGAAAGGGTGGCTTTGTAGGTGGCCCTACTGGAAGGCAGGTCACTTCTTTCACACTAGGTTTAGGCTTATCAGTTGACATAGCCAAAAATGGCTGCTCTGTAGGCTGGCCTATCGGCAAGCAAGTAATTTCCTTTCCACTGGATATAAACTCACCAGTTGACACAGTCAAACTAGGCTGCTTTGTAGGTTGGCCTATCGGCAAGCAGGTAACTTCCTTTCCACTGGGTTCAAGCTCACCAGTTGACGCAGCCAAAATTGGCTGCTTTGTAGGTTGGTCTATCGGCAAGCAGGTAACGTCATTCCCACTGGATTTAAGCTCACCAGTTGACGCAGTCGAAATTCCGTGCTTTGTCGGTTGGCCTATCGGCAAGCAGGTAACTTCGTTCGCACTAGACTTAAGCTCACCAGTTGACACAGACGAAATTAGTTGCTTTGTAGGTTGGCCTATCGGCAAGAAGATAACTTCATCCCCACTGGATTTTAGCTCACCAGTTGACGCAGTCGAAATTGGCTGCTTTGTAGGTTGGCCTATCGGCAAGCAGATAACTTGGTTCCCACTGGATTTAAGCTCACCAGTTGACACAGCCGAAATTGGCTGCTTTGTAGGTTGGTCTATCGGCAAGCAGGTAACTTCATTCCCACTGGTACTAAACTTACCAGTTGAAGAAATTGCTACAGCGTTATTCACCACAGAAGTAGGGCACATCAACAACTGTTGCTTTGCTGAACTGGAACCAGCAGCTGTCACGGAAGGTGTTGCAGCCAGGAATGGTCTTGATGTGGTAGCAGGATGGATACTTACAGGACTAGACTGAGCCATGAAAGGCGACATTGGCGACTTGGTGTGTGCAGTTGCAGGAATGAAGGCTACACCTGACGTTGACTCCTTTGAAGAGCTGGAGCCGGTAACTGCAGTTGTAGTGCTTGCAGGCAATAACGGTCTTGCGGCAAAATTGGAACCCGCACTTCCAGGACTAGAGGTTGAAGCCGAAGGCGGCCACTTTGCAGCACTGGAACTAGCACTTGAATTATCGGAGGTCTGAACCACGATTGGCAGTCTTGTAAAACTAGAAGAGGAGTTTGTAGCTGTTGAGTCTGTAGCACAGAATGGCCTTTTCACAGTGTCCAGCTGGGAAGTTGAGGAAGAATAGGATGCAGCCACGGATGGTCGCACTGAGTAACTGGGATTCGTAAGAGCAGAAGTAGGTGCTCCAGCCGAAGACGGACACATTGCAGAACTGAAATGACCAGTGGTTGGAGACAACAATGGCCGCTTTGCGGCACTGGGGTTTGAAGTTGCAGAACTAGAACTTGGAGCTGAAAATGGTCGCTTCACAGAGTTGGCCTGGTAGCTTGTGGAAGGAGAGGATGTAGGCAGGCATGGTCGCTTTGAGGAATTATACTTAACAATTGTGGGAGTAGAAGCTTCGGCTGATAATGGCCTCTTGGAGGTTTGGCCATTATTAACTGTAGCAGATGATTTGTTCCTGTTATTAGTGTGTACTTTACGTACATGTCTTTCAAAATGCCCATACATGGCAAATACAGCTTCGCATATAGGGCACTTGTATGATAGGGTGGCCATCCTTACTGTCATTCGATGCACCTGCACAGAAAAACAATGGCAATAAATTTAGTATAGGCTAATAACAGTCATTGCAAGGACTTGTTAATGGTGAAGACAGAATACAACAACTCAAAACCCTAGACAGGGGTTGTGTGCTCAAGGCGACATTTCAACAAATGGACTTCTCTTCTTCAAGGCTAAAATTAGGAGAACACAAGTCCACTAGCCAAAACGTTGGCTCGAGCACGCAACCCCTGTTTACAGATTCTTTCATTACAAGCTTTCGTCTTCCCCTTCCCATAGTTTTTTTTTTTTTAATGCTAAAAGGCCTTTTTAAAAGTTCTTCACCAAAAAACATTTCAAACTTCGGTAGAGTTGAAACCCACAATGACGAAATCAACGGGCAAAGCAAAAAAATTCGCTCTTGCGGGAATTTCTGTTCTGTTTTGATTGATTGATTGATTGATTGATTGATTGATTTGTGGGGTTTAACGTCCCAAAACCACCATATGATTATGAGAGACGCCATAGTGGAGGACTCCGGAAATTTTGACCACCTGGGGTTCTTTAACGTGCACCCAAATCTGAGCACACGGGCCTACGACATTTCCGCCTCCATCGGAAATGCAGCCGCCGCAGCCGGGATTTGAACCCGCGACCTGCGGGTCAGCAGCCGAGTACCTTAGCCACTAGACCACCGCGGCGGGGCTCTGTTCTGTTTTAACTGTTTTGCTGTGAAGAGGTTGAGGTGCCTATTGCCTCGGCTACTCCATATCACAAAGTTCCGCAGCGAAAAATAAAATATTAATACAGAACGGTACCCAAAAATTAACAATACGGAAAAGAAAAAAACATAATAGCACACTGAAACCAGTTCATACATCATGCCAATACACAGTTTTCTTCGCACAGTTCACACAGTCATAAACTACTTACACGCACACCTTACTAATCTAATGTCAGTATATACATGTTTCATGTTTTCATTGGCGGTGGAATCTTTGCAGGCAGACAAATCAGACCGTACGATCACTTCATGCAGTTCACATCGAACCAAGCACACACGGAGACTGCTATCGCTCCACACACGTGACCATGTGCGGCAGCAATGGGTACACAAAGCCTACAAATTCAGGGAACCACCGCGAATGAAACTCCATGTGAATGTGGATTTGGCTATGTAGTCCACGATTACGAGTCAGCATAAGCTGGCGTTTCCGCGCCAGCCCATTGAAATACTATTACATGCCTACTGCAAAGTCACCTCAGATATTTGTCGAGGTTTGTTTTCAAAGATGTAGTTGTAGCTGCTAGTTGAATGCATTTATGATTGGAACATTGTGCAGTTACCCATACTAATGGGCAAATGATTATCATCATTGTAATCGCCGGCTTTTCTTTTTTGTAAACAGTGACAGTTGCTTTGTGGCAATTGTTTTCTGCAATTTATGTGTATCACGAATGCATTTGAGTAGCTTTTGAATGTAGTTAATGTTACAAGAGTGAATTATTTGTGCACTCTAGTTTAAAAAATTTTGTTAATGAAGGACAGTGATTGAAGTATGTTTCACAGTCGCTGGTTATGAAATACAATGACTTCCGTGGGCATTCGCCAGGGCTATATATCGTTGCGGTGAGAATTTCATTCCCTTAGGATTTCATCATTACATGTTTCGACTGTACTAGAGTAACAGTTGTTAGGCACTGTTCTGGGATCATTTGAAAACTACCCAAATCGGTCAGTACTTAGGCATTTTGCAGTATGTTACCAAGCCCCTAGAAGGCAAGCATCCGCTGTTACTTTTGCTTTTGCTAGAATACGCGAGCAAAGTTCTTCCCCTGTAGGAAATCGAGCCTCTCGATGCCTAGGAAAAGGGTTTTATTTACAATAAACCGCAGCCTGGTTCAGTTGGCTGCTGTTGTAGCGCATGAATCCAAAACACAACAGTTCATCGTGTTCTTCAGCAAACTTTTTCCAACATCCCCTGCATACTCCCATGCACCACAGCTCATACATCTTCACGTGATGACATAGCCTCTTTATATTGCGTGAGTAGAGTCGATCTGAAGCCAGCAGCATGTGTGTGCTGCGAGCTGGACTGAAAAAGCAGTGAACAAGGAGAACTATGGCAGCAAAAATGGCCTTTCTAAGTAAAGTGTATTCTGAAGAATGGATTTGAACTACGGTACTCTAATAACAATGCCCGATACTCCCCAACCACTACCTATAATTTCTTCAATCCAACTTTTTGGCAACATATGAAAAAAATCAAAGACTGCAAAAGAGCCCACAGGGAAGCCGACTTGGTAAACTTTAACCCCTATTAATTACATCAGGTATGATTAAAATGAAGTCAGCAATTCTAAACAAAAGTTTTTCTGTTTAACTAAAATGAAGTTACAAGGTAAAGCTTCATGCTACGATACTGACGAGGCACGTGAAAAAAGAGAAGAATGGGTGTTGGCACGAGCGGTGATCTTCCCAATCCCTGGACTCTCACATTCATCATCTCCTGTAAATAAAGGCATCTCACCGTAACAATATTGGTGGAGGTGCGGGCTCCGGAACAGTCATCCCGGGCGAACGATCAGGGAAGCGCTGCTTCCAGAGCTACATCGAAGCCGCCGACTGGCCAGTCTACCACCACTCTCTATGGATCTGATTGATGACGGCGACAACATGCAGCCTTCGTCTCGCTCCAGCCACGTTTGAGTGCTTCATGGAGACTACATTATGTGGACTGCAAAGTTTGTCTTTGCTGACTGGATGACATAAATTTTGGTAGTACATTCGATGAGCAAAACCAATGTCTGGTCATTGTTCTCACCTGCCTTGAGAGAGCTAAGCTCACACTGAATTCTCAGAAGTGTCATAACAGCAACTGTGAGACTCTGGTTCTGGGGATCACCTGGTTGACTAGCATGGCGTTTGACCAGATTCTCAAAAGGTGGCTGCAGTCAGCAGCTTCCAACAACCTCAGTCTGCACAAGAGTTGCGAAGCTTTTCGAGCTTATGATCGCACTTCCGTCGCTTTGTGCCTAAGCTCGCCAACCTCGTTTACCCTTTGACGTCCCTACTCAACATGAATTCGCCTTTTCAGTGGTCAGAAGATTGCGAGTGACCTTTTTCACAACTCAAGTTCCTTTTTATGTCAGGGCCCTTGCTTCTCCACTATGACCCATCTGCTGCCACAGAAGCTCATACCTACGCCAGTGGTGTAGCTATTGGCGCTGTCTTGGTCCAACGCCATGGAACTGCTGACCCCGTCTTTGCCTATGCCAGTTGCTGTTTAAGTAAACCGGAGCGAAACTACGCTCTTGCAGAGCAAGAATGTCTCATGGTCACATTCACGATGCACAAGTTTCGCCCTTGTATCTACAAATGCTGATTTTAGACAATCACGAACCACCGTTCTTCATGTTGGCTCACTGAACTTTGGGACCCATCCGGTCGTCTTGCTCGTTGGACGTAATCAATGCTCCAATTCCTGGCCAAGCAACTTTTCCAGCAAAGTAATGTAGTGATGACAACAGTCTTGCTTCTTTCTTCATCTTTGGAAAGAACGGTCAAGGCCGTTTCATCGTAAGAATTATTCAAGCAAAAGCCCTCGTCTACTTCTAGTGGTGCTCACGAGTTTGAGACAACACATACTTCCGAGCAATGCACAATGACGCAACATCTGGCCATATAGGTTTTTCTAGGAGATTTAATCACACACAAGAACGCTTCTTCTCGCCAAAAATGTGTAAAAGTGTGACTGCATACCTTGCGAACTGTGAGCAATATCAACGCTACAAGCGTACGACAACCCCGCCAACCGGGCTACTTCACCCCATAGCACACCGGGGTTCACCATTTTGTGTTGTCAATCTCGCTATTTATAACTATTGCCTACAACACTCCACGGCACGAAACAACCAGATACAGTCCATTTTATCTGCTCTACAAACGCCAGCCACGCACAGCTCTTGACACTACTCTTTCGTTTTCTGCAACCGGCCAACCTACTCTCGCTGAAACCATTTGCCGTGCAGAAGAGGCCCAGCTCATCGCCTGTCTTTGAACTTTCGTTTCCAAGAAATGCTCTAAGAACCGATACCACAGAAGTCACCTCCAGGAATTGTTTGAACAAAATGGATTTGGCAGGGCTTTGAACACGCCTTCTCAAGCGCGGCCTCTGCCAAAAGTTTCTGGCCAACTACACTGATCAGTTTATTGTCCTGGAACGTCTCAGTGATGTCACGTATGCTATATCTCGGCTGTAGTCAACTGACCATCGCTCAAGCAAGACCAACGTCGTCCATGCTGCCCGTATAAGATGCTCTCATCATTGCAACGAAGACAGACTCGCCCAGTGGTGGGCATCGTCTGTGAAGGGGGTATTGCTACGATACTGAGGGGACGCATGGAAGAAGAGAAGAACGAGGTTGGATAAAGGCATCTCACCGTAACACTTCACAATAATCCATTCTCGAGTATTACACACAATAATGACGATGTGATTAAGAGGCACAATGCAAAAAGGGGAAGGTAGTATTGGGGTTATTTTGACTATAACTAGGTTTAATTATAGAGTACCCACATTTAAGTTCAAGGGTGTTCTTACGTTTCCCTCCCTTAGATACGGCCACCATGGCCAGCAATCAAACCCGCATTTTCAAACTTAGCAGTGTGATCACCTTGAGGCAAAGTTTCCTCACAAAGATGGATAATGACATACTGCTCACCTCTTTCATGTGGGAAACCAGCTTGGCAGCATAAATGCGACCACATCGTGGACAACGGCCAGCATCCCTGCCCCTTTTGGCCATGTACTGCATGTTGGGTGTAACCATGCCATGAGCCCCCAGCAAATGCCGTTCCAGTCCCTGGTCACTGAAACAACGCCTGTCACACTTTTGGCAGCTGAGTGGTGGGCGCTGGGACAGTGTAGCCCGATGGATTTTCACACTGTGTGTTCGATGCATGTGCAAGCGCAACTGCGCCAAGTCTTTGACAAAGCCATCACAGATCTCACAAGCTATAACGGGTGCAGTTGAGCTGGTTCCCTTGGGGCTTTCACATGTTTGTGGTTGTGTGCCTTGCTGGGCTTCCTCTGCACCAGTACGCAAACTAGCCAAGTTGGAAGGTGATTGAGCAACAGCTATGATCTGCCTGATGCTTTCATTGTACAATGGGATAAGCTCCGCACCATTGCCAACAACCTGGAATGTTTGGTTTGATGAAATATCTGGCTGGATCAATGTCAACCTAGACTTGCTCTGTTCCTGACTTTGATTTTGCAAGTGAGCAGATTTTCGTTTCTTGGATAGCAGTGGCAGTTTTCCTTGAGGCGCTACCAATGCAGAGGCTCCGTTCTGACGTGTCGCGCCAGAGCCTTTTCGTGGATCTTTAGCAATGCGGCCTAATGAAAACAATGTTTCCTCGTAGTTCATGATATTATTAAAATTAAGAGGTTTAGCTGTGACTCCCGGAGGCTGAAAGTCATAAGTGGGCCTCTGATTCTGACTTGAGCTAAAAACCTTTTCACAACGGTTAACATGGGAAGTGGCCTTAATTTTCAGGTTGGTCTCAAAAGGACAAAAAGGGCACTGATGATGCAGCTGTGGAGGCTCTAGGATTGCCTGTCTGTTGTGCATAGCCTCCACATGGAATGCAAACACTTTGCTATCGCGAGTCGCGTAGTCACAAAAACCGCACTGAAGCTCCCGCCGTGTTGTCAAATGTGGTGTCAGTAGGTGTCCTTCCAGAACAAGGCTTGATTCAGTTTTAAAATCACATAACTTGCATGACTTGGACTTGAATTTAAAGGCAGAGTTTGCTATTAAAGTTTTTCGATGTTCTTCTATTAGCCCTTTATACTCATCGATCATCTCTTGATTACGACCACGAGCTTTCTTTATCTCGCGCCTCTTGAGCTTTAGCACCTCTTGGTTGCACACCTCACGTGCTCTGCTCAAACCGAGACCGATGAAGAACTTTCCAATTTCACTTTCAAAAAACTCATCAGCAGAGCTCACATTTTGCCTCAAAGGCAGCACTTTTTTCTGTTTCTTACTTCCCTCACAATTTTCGTCCTCTGTCAAAAGGTAGTCTGGTCTTTTTATAAGTAAGGGAGTAACCAACGAAGGAGCTTCAACTACGGCATCTGCCCTTCTCATACGAAAATCTCTGGCCTTCGACACAGATGTTGGCACATACTTCCCAACCTTTATGTAATGATGAAGAAACTGTGAGACATAAGGATGACATGTCTCTTCCTGCTCATCTTCATCTTCACTCTCTTCTTCAGTTTCTTCTTTACTTGTCTCAGTGAATGAAGTGTTTTCGCCATCTTTTGAAGACAAAAGGTCATCAGCAGCTTGACTACATGGTTCACAACTAATTGATGGTTGTACGTCTGTCTGACTATCATGTGACTCAGATGAACTGGTGTCAGGTTTCTCCACTGACGATTGAAGACTGGGCATGTGATTGTCATGCTTACTTCCAGGCTGAATTTCCTCTTCTCCTGCTTTCTTCTTCAAAGGTTCAACTGAGGAAGACTCTTGAACTTCACAATCATTTTCCTCTTTTTTTCCTATGGCATCTATTATGGGATATATTGTGGAAGAGCCATGTCCCTCATTATGAGTCTCCTCTTTTTTGGATTCCTGCTTTCCCCATTCACAGGAGGAAGAGTGCTCTTCTTTTTCACTCTCCACTTCTTTCACTGCCTCTCTCTTTGGTACAAAAGAAAAGGAGATGTGTCCCTCCCTATCAATTTCCTCTCCTTTTTCTGCAGCGTGTTTTCCAACATCCGTGGAAAAAGAGCCATGTGGACTGTCTGAGTGCATGCTGCTCTCACTAAAGGCACTGCTACAGTTTTTCTCAAAACAAGATGATTCACTGAGATTGGCACCACATGGTTTGGCCTCTAGGATATCGTCTTTATCCAGCTTCGAGAGAACTTTGCCTTGGGAACACTCATCTTCACTTTCACACTTCTCTCCTGCTGACTGCTTCGCCATTTCTTTCGTTTTACTTTCAGAAGAGTTCTTTCTCTGTTCCCAGGTCACTAACCTGCCTTTAGTTGGCTCAGAGATAACTGAATTTAGAACATCACTGTCGCACAGTGTGGAGGCAGAGTTATCTCTTTTCCGCCCTGAATGAACTGCAAGCTTCAGGTCTGCATCTTCAGTTTTTACTTCTTCCTTTAACTGTTTTGCTATTTCACTTCTAGCTTGCACACTAGAAGGGTCCCCAGACCTTTCCAAAGTCCCACAGCTGTCTTTGGCAGTACCACTAGAGCATGCCTCTGAACGTGATGAACTAAAAACATTACTGTCAGGTAATCTTGGTACAAGGTCCACATCACATTCTGTTTCTGGAAAAACCTTGTCTTCGCAGTTCAAGTTTGCGTTTTGATTCTGCTTCTCCTCTTCGGTCTCCTTGGTAGCTTCACTACAAGGATTCTCCAACTCGAATGCCACACTGAATTCTTTTTTCAAGTCTAAACTCACTGCTTCAGCTGCTTCCATGTCTGCATCTTCAGTTTTTACTTCTTCCTTTAACTGTTTTGCTATTTCACTTCTAGCTTGCACACTAGAAGGGTCCCCAGACCTTTCCACCAAAGTCCCACAGCTGTCTTTGGCAGTACCAACAGAGCATGCCTCTGAACGTGATGAACAGACAACATTACTGTCAGGTAATCTTGGTACAAGGTTCGCATCACCTTCTGTTTCTGGAAAAACCTTGCCTTCACAGTTCAAGTTTGCATTTTCAATCTGCTTCTCCTCTTGAGTCTTCTTGGTAGCTTCACTACAAGAAGGACTATCCAACTCAGATGCCACACTGAATTCTTTTTTCAAGTCTAAACTCACTGCTTCAGCTGCTTCCATGTCTGCATCTTCAGCTTTTACTTCTTCCTTCAACTGTGTTCCTATTTCATTCCTAGCTTGCACATTAGAAGGGTCCCCAGACCTTTCTAAAGTTTCACAGCTGTCTTTGGCAGTACCACCAGAGCATGCCTCTGAACGTGATGAACTGACAACATTACTGTCAGGTAATCTTGGTACAAGGTTCGCATCACCTTCTGTTTCTGGAAAAACCTTGCCTTCACAGTTCAAGTTTGCATTTTCAATCTGCTTCTCCTCTTGAGTCTTCTTGGTAGCTTCACTACAAGAAGGACTATCCAACTCAGATGCCACACTGAATTCTTTTTTCAAGTCTAAACTCACTGCTTCAGCTGCTTCCATGTCTGCATCTTCAGCTTTTACTTCTTCCTTCAACTGTGTTCCTATTTCATTCCTAGCTTGCACATTAGAAGGGTCCCCAGACCTTTCTAAAGTTTCACAGCTGTCTTTGGCAGTACCACCAGAGCATGCCTCTGAACGTGATGAACTGACAACATTACTGTCAGGTAATCTTGGTACAAGGTTCGCATCACCTTCTGTTTCTGGAAAAACCTTGCCTTCGCAGTTCAAGCTTGCATTCTCATTCTGCTTGTTGTCTTCAGACTCCTTGGTAGCTTCACTACAAGAAGGACCCTCAAACTCGGATGCAACACTGAATTCTTTTTTCAAGTTTACGTTCACTGCTTCAGCTGCTTCCATGTTCCAAGTGGCACTGCAAGAATAAAGAAAGTATAACCTTAATTTCGTGGCATGAAAGTTAACGCATCTTGAATGTAATGAAACATTGTACATTGTGCTACACAACAGCATGTTTCCAAAAGACTTCTAATTTGTCCATATTCATACAGCTAATTTAGAATGCACCCACAAATTCTAGCACTTCTCACAGTGGGTGGAACATAATCATGACAAAAATCTAGACCAAAATAATCACACTCAACAGTGCAACAACCTAGTTACTGGCATTATTTGCTTGAAGTTATTGTTGCAGCTGCAAAAGGCATTTGTTGTTAAGAGGCATGATATCTTTTTGAGACATAGAAAAATAATTATATATGTGGAGCTTCAAGCTTTATTTTTTTCCTAAAACAGCGAAATACATGTATGAAAACTTGGCTTAATCTCAGTGGAGCACAAAAACACTTAAAGGGGCCCTGCAACACTTTTCGAGCATAGTCAGAAATTGCTGCCCATCGGTAGTAGAGGCTACCGAGAATAAGCGAGCCAAATAAAATGGCACAGCACCGTTGCCTGAATTTGCAATATATTCTCGAAGTCAGTTAAAAATCGCGTTTTATTCTCTCATCAAGTGATGCTATATACTAAAAAATGATCGCATTATAGGCCCAAGTGTCACGCTATTGGTTGATCTGAGCATGGCTCGCTCGGGAGTTACGAGGGCTGCCGAAAGAGGCCGCAATGTGTCAGCACGATCGCACTGAAAGACTGCACGTTCAAAAAAAACGAGAAAAAATGCTCAAGGGCACAAGGCCCACATCATATACCTGATTCCCCCGTGCCATCCCTCCCTGCTTAGCTTCGAGCGCTTTGGTTGCAATGAGAGAAGAGAATGAGCAATTGTAGCATGCGACAAACCTTTGCAACTGCGCTCGTGCTGGGTGGATTCTAAAAAACTTTTGAGGAGGTGAATTCGTGAGACAATAAGCTTCTTTGGTAAATCTATTCTATGGCTACTTGGAAAAGCGTTCCACCAAAAGCCCTTCAAGTTCCTCTCATTTTAAAAACACTTGTAATCAAAGTGGGTCAACTTTTTATTGCGACATAAAACAAAAAAAAACTAGCTTCTAATCAGAAACGAGCCACATGCTGCACTTGTTTGAGCTACATCTATTAAACTAGATCTGAATCAGTATCTTGTGGCCATAACAACCAACATGAGACCTAGCTGCTTTGCTGTCATGCTTTCGCTTGAGAACTTTTATCTTTAGTTAGTTATTACGTATTGTAGAGAGAATCACGAAGAAAAAAAACTAGAAGACAAGCTTTCGTATTTCTGTCAGCCTTTTAGTCTTCTTTTCGAGTTTTGCACTACAATATCATATCATATTCTTTTGTTCTGAGACAGTACATTCGCAATAAAGGATGATGAAAATGAACATATCGGAGACCAATCTGTATAAAAAAAAAAGAAGTCCCAAATGACACTGCATAAAATCAGCTTGCAATGAGCATGAAATAAAAAAGATTAGCTGAAGCATTTTTCAGGGGTCTTAATATATTCATAGAAAGAGAAAACGTTGCTGCCTGCCGAAAGGAGTGCACCTGTTCTCAGAAAGAACTACCTGCTCAACAAAATGTGTGTCACTACCCGTGTGCAACAGAGGCCAGTACCAGCAGAAGCACATTGATTAAGTTAGTTTTGTCACTAGCAAAGTTTTGTGATATCGTTTAAGTGCTGCTTATTAGATCTTGTTATAATGTAGCCAGTACAAGACTGTAGCCAGTTCAAGATTGTCACAGAGCAAATGCGCAGTATGTGCTCTGCGACACTTTTTTCACCACATACACCACGTCATGGACGCATTTGTTCATCTGCTAGCAGCATTTCTGTCATCTAAGCTGGCATGTCATGCATCTTAAGGTATTCCCTTTTTCTGCAGTTCAAACGTAAACATTTACACTAATTTTTGTATTCACACACTAATTTTCATTGAGATGCACCTTGAAATGCAAGACACGCCAGCTTAGCTGACAAAAATGCTGCTAGCAGACGGCGAACGATTGCATCCATGACGTTGTGCACGCGGTGAAAAGAGTGTCGCAGAGCACATGTTTCCACGGTGAGTGTTGCGCGGTGCTGATAGTGGTTGGGCACGTGCTTGTGTGTTCTCCTAACTGTGCTCACCGCTGTACGTGGCAATATGTAGAAGTTAAATGCACAAATCTGAGCATGATTTTACATACCTAAGCCGTAATGTACTTGCTAAGTAAACATTTCGTTGTGTTTTACAGACCAAGCGTTGCTGCCGCTCTTTTTCATATGGCCTTGACGTGAATGAGTAAAAGGTGATGTTTGGGTGGTACCCTCCACCTGTGCGGCACTTTACACGCAGCAGTACTATCGTTTCCTGCGGTAGTTGATTGCAGTAGCCATCGCCATCCTACTATGTTTTGCAACAAGGCCACCAGGACAGTGCAACACGTCATGAAACAGGGCAAAGACTTGAATCACAAGGGTATCTGGGCAAATTCTTGCTAATGTTAAGCCCCCAGCATCACAAGATCACGTGTTCAATGACAACGAATGTTTGCACTTATCCTGATGAAGGCCGACTGCAACTATCGACTTTAAAACGCACAATGCATTGCATCTGCATATACAAATACGTGTGGGCCACATTTGACTACACCATACTTGCAGAATGTGCAACGCTAAAACAATCAAGTTATGATTCTGATCACGAGTATAATTTTATGTCGTGATAATTTTACCGTGAAAAGCCACGGCATAATTTTATTATGCCGCGGCTTTTTTTTTAATAATAAAATATGCCACGGCATATTTTATTATTAGGGGCGACAAATCATGAAGCAATGTAAGAATGACGGAGGGAAAACTAGCATCATTTTCAAAGCTCCATGCAGCTGAATGCTGTTTGAGCTCAAATAGCAGTTTAGGCACTTATCTTAAAAATGCCGTGAACGCAGGTCACAGATTTGGTGCACTTTTCGATAACTCAACCTTGTTCTGCCAGCTAGGTGCAAGCACACGCATTACCTAACGCTCCAAACCGCACAGCTAAGTGAGGTCTATAATTTGTGAATTGCTGACTCGCCCTGTTTGCCGTTTTGATAACGAGATTTGCGCATCTGCTGTCTTAAGCCTGATCGGGATAAAATTTACAGCATGAAGTAGTCAATTAAGTTCAACCAAGTCAGCCCGATCGCGATCAAAAAAGACCGTGTGACTGGCTGCTACTAATCATCATAATAATAATCAACTGAGGAAGTTATTTGGAGCAGTAGGTCATGCTTTCAGCTCGAACAAAGAAACAAGTTATTTGCTACTTCCCACTTTTTCAAGTGTTTCACACTCACACAAGTGTTTCACGAACCGCTATAACACAAGCGTGTTATAGCGGTTCGCCATAGCGCACAGCTTGTTAGAGCAAAACAGATAAATGAATAAGCGATCATACCATTCGACTGCCAAACACAACCCAGCCAACGCTATCATCCGTCAGGAAATCGATACTCAATAAACTTAAAACAGCAACCGGATGAGAATTACAACGTTTTTGTTACCGCTCAGAAAAACAGCATCGTTCTTATTTGAATTAAAAATGTAAAGAGACTAACTTATTCGGAAGCCGCGGTATTTGCTCGGGCAAAGGCTGGATTCACTTGCCAGTCGATGCCGGCACGATGACAGTATCGTTGGCAAAGCACAGAAGAGGTGACGCGATGAGGCTTATTATCACGTAGAAACTAAACACTTTTCTTCAGGTAGTGCTAACGAAAGTGTCGAAACAACCATGAAACACCACCATCAATACCGCCGAACAGCGCCACGGCGCCATTTTAAAAAACCATGGTTTCATTATTTTACACGAAACTCCATGTACACAAACGCTGAAAAACGGCAAGTTTTGATTGGTTGACAATAGCGCCTCCAAGTTGCCAGGTGTTGCGTTGGGACTTCCGTAACTAGAGAAACACTGAACTGGCTGAACTACAAAAACATCTGCCACTCAAACGTACTCTCTGTGCAAAAAAAACTATTATTTGCGTTTATAGCATTACATAACACACAAATTAATTGAGATTACTTTAACACATAAAATTGGCATAAAGTTTGCCATCATCATATTTATTCAGTTGCTGCATCGACAATGACACCAATTCGGTGCGCCGCGTACCATGCTACAGTGCACTGTAACCATGCTGCTGTGTATTAATCATGCTTTTCGAAGTTACGCTGATGAACGAGAAATGACCAGCGAGCAGTTTGATTATTTACTCGCTTCGTAGAAGTTTATTAGCGGACTGAAAAACCAAGGAATGGTTGTTATAATCCTGCCCAGGTGACGATGGATTCGCTGCCGAAGCTGCTGCCTGTGTGGCCCAACGCTGCTGAACACGCATTAGCCGAACTGGTTGATTTCAGCGTCGACGCGAAATATCAACCAGACTTTGGAGGTGCTGGTGTGGATGTCCAAACGAATGATGACGGACTTCCGCATTTCTCGACCTTAAAGTGTCACGATTCTCGACGGAACAAGCTGTCCGCGCAGTATTTGACGCTGCCTCTGTCGGTTCCGAACAGGGGTGTGTGTGTTCTCTTGCGTCACTGTTTTTGCAGTCATAATAAGGCGTATAATCGCGTGTGCTCTCTCTTTTTCTTGCAGTTGCAAGTGCAGTGGAACCGTGCTTACAATATCAGCTTGACCTAAATAGACGAATACGCGCCTTCGAGTCAACGATTGGCGTTTACCGCGGTTATATCAAACGCAAAGTAAGGTTCTCATTAACATTTCGCCTACGCATTAAAGTAACAATGAACGGCTCCTTCACCCTTGTTATCTCCCGTATTTCTCTTTAGGGCCCCTTCGCAAGCGCTGTTCAAGAAATCGAAGAAGCCCTGATGTCAAAAAAGCCTCGCACAGAACTTAGAAACATGAACATTCATCGGAGCCTACTAGAGTTAATACAAATACAACCTGAATCGTTCTGCTACCGGGTAAGTTTTACAAGGGAAGCCTGCTCAACAATTTTTTAAGCGTGCATGGGATTTTCAGTTGAACAGTTCATCATAACCCCCTCACCCCCCACCCCACTTTTTTGTAATTTTCTATTACGGGTGAGTTTAAGTCTTGTAAGCTTTGGATTCACGACGACAAAGTGCTCAATACAAAAGTGAGAGAACGATGGAAATGAATAACAAACAAAAGTGTTTGGCTCCTTTGATCCTTTCTGCCCTTTATTTGATTTTGCGTGGTGTATTTTTTCATGGAATACCAAATAGCCTAGTCCCACACATTGCTTTTGAAGTCACTGTCTATATAAGAATGCTTTTAAAATATCATGCAAGCATACACATATGACTTCTTTCACGAAGGACTGTAATTGGGATTTCACTGGAGGATGCCTTGCCACAATTCCTCATCCTTTATCAAATGGATCCATCCTGCTGGCCCACCCATCTGGGACGAGCTAGACAAGCTAGGTACGGTTTGTTATAGCTGCATTCCAGGCGCATTTATGCTTATTCTTCATTTGCATAAAAAACTTAGCAAATATAATTAAATGGTACCACTATTGGTCCCATCAAAAGCATTACAGTGTCATTACATGTCAGGCATCTAGGCACCACCATCATGGGCTGTTCTGCCAATGTTTTCTACTTCTTATTTTTTTCATACAATGGCGTGGATTACTAAAGCCATAAAATATTGTATGCACCAACCCAACCGTTTTCGCTACCGTAATACTGTTTGTTTAGTTGTTAAGGATACGAAACACAAATGTTAACAGCCCAAGACAAATGTTTTAACAGCTCAGAATGTGTAGTCCCTCATTTTAGTTACAGCCTCGGTGCGACAAGGCCAGTTAAAGTGGTTATGAACAAAATTTTTGCCATAAGCTTTTCAGCCTAATTGAAAAATTGAGTGTTGAAATCGATAGACACCACCGTCATTTCAGGCAGAAGCTATAGGAGAGTAATGAATTTAATGATTTTTTCACAGACCGTCTTGTGGCTGCACTGTGAACTAGATAGAGGAGACGATGTTACACTCGCTGGAAACAGGCATCCCAATAATGCAGGCCATCGCTCGCATCTCTCAAGCTGCTCAGCTACCACTATGGTTCCCAGAACAACTATGGCAGTGAACAATGCTTCTAGCTTGGGCCAAGCTTCAGGCTTTTTGCGAAAGGGGGAGGGGAATGATACTTTAGGAGAGGTGGAGAAAAAGGAACAGGACAGGAACACATGTACCCTGATTGCTCCTGGGAGAGTGTGGCGTCATGGCTCGCACGTAGCCGCTGCACGCTGACAATCCACCAAAAATACAGACAGCTGTTAAATAAATATGAAAAATAAACTTTGTTCGTCAGAATAGTAGAACCTTCTGAGAGGGATTTCGATGTTCTTATCAGTTTTTCCAATTTTCATTCAGTATCTCTTTAGGCCGTCTCTTTATTAAAGTTGTGTAGCTTCTAAGAAATGTTTTCAAAAAGCAGCATTCATTAATGTCGAAGCTTGCAAGCCTCTTGTAAATGTCCTGGTCATGACGTCGTCTTGGCTAACATTTCATTTTCTTACCCTCGCAGACATTGCTAACCACAATATTTTCTGTGGATATCAGTTGTGCAAGGTCTCTTGTTCAGCAACCATTTGCAAGCATCAGTAAAAGTTGCAATGCAAGGTGTTGGTGCTAGGTTGAGGCTTAATTTAATGCAAGTTTCGAGTGCCTCATTTAATTATGTTCCCACATACAAATTCTAGATAATTCACTGTCAGTGTTATGAAGCATTCTTTCTTTAACAACTTTGTGTGTGAGAGAGAGAGCAAATTTTGATGATTTAAATGTTTAGTAAGTAAGAAAGTGCTGCCATCTTGGGCATTATTTGGTTCTGATTTCTTGAATGCTTCTTTTTCAGCCATATCTGAATATCAGCCGGCTCCTTTTCACTCAAAAGAAGCATTCCTGGAGAAGCAATCAAGTCTGGTTCTGGAATCAGCTGGAACTAACGGCACAATTTTTCAAGTGAGCTTACAGCACGTTCAAAAAGGTAAGTGTATCTGAGCAACACTGTTGCACTACCTTTTTTACAGATGCCTAGACGTGGCACACATTAAAGTTTGCAGATTTTGTATAACTACCTATATTTTATTATAACTGTCTATTTCATATAACTACCTCTGCGAGGACACGTCTCGCTTTCTTGTTATACCGATTCCTAAAGAAGAGGGACCATCCACGTTTTTTTAAGTTTCTCACTCTGTTCCTTTTTTACAGAGACGACATGCTGTGTTCGATTAAGAAACAGTTGTCAGTATATTCGTTTGTTTGACACACTGAAGAAGGAACCAGCGATGCTCTCGGAATTTTCGTATGATAGCGGCGTTTGTTGTACTACACCAAGGTGAGTCCATAGCTTGTAAGGCTGCTCAGTGACCACAGAGACCTTTCTTTATGCCCACTCTGTCTATTGGCCGTCTTGCATGTTTGGTTCCTGATACCAATTCACCGAGCATCATGGCTTTCATATACTATATTTTATATTGTCACGGGGTCGCGACGTGGGAGAAGGGAGCAGTTGCAGGTCGAATAATAAACTGTTTATTTGAGTCGAATTTGTGGCGACGTCAAAAGAAAAATCAGAGAACAGCAAGACACTGGCACTGATAGTTGCGAGCAGAGCTGTCGGCCGTCGATCAACTGACAAGCGACGAAGCGTGTCGGCATTTATACCCTTGCCATCGAATATTCTAGCATTATCGCTAGCAGCGACGTAGGTTCTCGAATAATCTGTGACGTTCCCAAAGTGGGCGTAATCGTTAACAAATCGATCTACTAAAGCCTCGAAGCTTCTCGAACATCGTTGGTGCGGTTTGCCCTGAACGTAGTGTAATGGTGTGATAAGAAAACTTGAAGAAAAGAACGTAGCATTGCCTTCCTCTGAAAAAGGCATCGTCCCGATGCTTTAACAAAAGACGAAGGTACAATAATAAAGATAACATTAAGTACAGCAACAACAACAAAATACAGTCCTCAGGTTCGCGCATGGAATGGTTTGAGGCGCAGGACATGGAGGACTTCAGGTTGAGCACGGCGCCGTTGAGAATTCGTAATGCCGTCAGGAACAACCAAGCAGTCGAGTGGGCCACGAAAACCGCTCTGTACGGTCCGAAGTATCGTCGCAGAAGTTTTTCGCTGAGCCCACGTTGACATATCGGCGTCCATACCCAGACACAGTCCCCGAGCTGGTACTCAACAAAGCTTCGTCGAAGATTGTAATGGCGGCTGTCAGTCGCCTGCTGGTTCTTGATGCACAGACGGGCGAGTTGATGAGCTTCTTTCGCGCGCTGAAGGTAGGCAGTGACGTCGAGGTTCTCTTCGACAGCGACGTTTTCAAGCATACCGTTGAGCGTCGTTGCCGGGCTCCTTCCATAGACCAACTTGTACTGCGTCATCTGCAACGTTTCTTGGACGGCGGTATTGAACGTGAAGGTCACCTGCGGAAGGATTTTATCCCACGTCTTGTGTTCGACATCGACGTACATGGCCAGCATGTCGGTGATTGTCTTGTTTAGCCACTCGGTGAGACCATTTGTCTATGCTTGGTAGGCGGTGGTGGGGCAGTGGCTTGTCTGGCTATGTCTCAAAATTGCTTGAGTCAAATCAGCAGTAAAGGCCGTACCTCTATTAGTAATGAGGACCTGTAGAACTCCGTGACACAGAACAATGTTCTCGACGAAGAACCTTGCTATCTCGAAGGCACTGCCTTTTGTGATAGCCTTTGTTTCGCCGTAGCGTGTGAAGTAGTCAGTAGCTACGACGATCCATTTGTTTCCAGAATTGGACGTCGGGATTGGCCCCAGCAAGTCCATGCCGATTTCGCTGGGACGATCGGCGAGGTGGCTCGATGGGCTAGAGATGTCCGGCTGGCCTAGTTGGTGGTGTCTTTCGTCGCTGACAGTCGCGGCAGGTCCTGACACAGCGAGTGACATTGGCGGAAGGTCGTGGCCAGTAGTGGTTTTCTTGTATTCTTGCGAGGGTACGGGAAACATCGAGGCGTCTAGCCATTGGGTTGTTGTATAGGGCCTCGAGTATTTCTGGTCTCACTGCTGAAGGAACCACGAGAAGGTGGTCGGCTGGAAAGGGCCAGAAGTTCTTCTTTAAGAGAACTCCGTTTTTCTAGAAGAACAACTTCAGTCCTCTCTTGAAAATATTCGGAACAGTCGTGCTGCTACCCTTGAGGTATTCCACAAGGCTTCCGAGTTCCAGGTCAGCTCGCTGTTGCTTGGCGAAGTCGTCAGCAGTTTTTGTTCCTAAGAAGCTGTCCTCATCCTAGCCATAGGGCCGTGGTGGTTCGACGGGAGCACGAGAAAAGTAGTCGATGCGGAGTGTGTTTTTCCAGACTTGTAAACGATGGTCACGTCGAATTCTTGGAAGTCTGAGGCTCCATCGTGCGAGGCAAGTTGAAGGGTCTTTCTACTTAGCTAGCCAACACAAGGCGTAGTGGTCGCTCACAGCTTTGAAAGGCCTGCCGTAGAGGTAAAGGCGAAACTTTGATGCTGCCCAGATGATGGCAAGGCACTCCTTTTCTGTTGTGGTATAGTTGGCCTCGGCCTTGGATAGTGGCCGGCTAGCATAACTGATTACCTTTTACACGCCGCCAGTCCTTTGCACAAGGACAGCGCCGAGTCCTACGCTGCTGTGTCAGTGTGTACTGTTTCGGCATATTCGTCGAAATGGGCAAGTATCGGTGGGTTTGGAGGCATCGTTCAAGTGTCTGAAATGCTTCCTCGTGTGCCGTTTCCCACCTGAATTCGACGTTGCTTTTTGTGGGGTGAGTTAGCGGCTTGGCGATCTGTGAAAAACGTTTGACGAAGCGCCTGTAATAGGCGCACAATCCGAGGGATTGGCGTACAGCCTTCTTGTCGGTGGGCTGTGGGAAATCGGCGATGGCGGATGTTTTCCACGGGTAGGGACGGACTCCAGACTTGCTTATCACGTGTCCCAGGAAAAACAGCTCCTTGTACGCAAAGCGGCACTTTTTTGGCTTCGGGGTTAGTCCAGAAGTGTTGATAGCTTGAAGTACCGCTTCAAGCCACCGGAGATGCTTGTCGAAGCTGGAGGAAAACAAGATGACGTCATCCAAGTACATGAGGCAAGTCTGCTATTTCAATCCAGCCAGCATGGTGTCCGCAGGCGCCGAGTAAAGACCAAATGGCATGATCTTTAACTCGAAGAGGCTGTCTGGTGTGATAAAGGCCGTCGTCTCTCGATCTCTCTCGTCAACCTGCATTCGCCAATAGCCTGATTTGAGGTCCATTGAAGAAAAGTACTTTGCATTGTGGGGACGGTCCAGTGTGTCGTCTATACGTGGGAGAGGGTACACGTTCTTCTTTATGATTTTGTTCAGGCGGCGGTAATCAACGCAAGAACGTAGGGTCCTGTCTTTCTTCTTCACTAATACCGCGGGTGACGTCAGCCCACGGACTTTTGGATGGCTGAATGATATCACGTAGCATTTCGTCGACTTGGTTCTTCACGGCGTTGCGCTCGCGCATCGAGACTCGGTACAGGCTTTTTCGAACTGGTCGGGCACTTTCTTCTGTTATGATGCGATGTTTTCGTGACTGGGGTTTGTGGAATTCGCGATGATGACTAGAAGCAGTTCTTTAATTGCAAAAGCAGGGACTTGAGGCGGTCTTGCACTTTGAAAAGCTCGGGTTGACATCGAAATCTGGTTCGGCACCTCGATTCATTGAAGCAGCATCGAAGGATGCGAATAAATTGCTGGCCTCCATGAATTTGTCGATATGCGTTACTGCCGTACCACGGTTAAGGTGCCTATATTCGTGACTGAAGTTTATCAGCACCACCTTTGCATTGCCGTTACACAACTCAGCTATGCCTCTTCCGACGCTAATCTGACGGTTCAGAAGATGATGATCGCCCTCGACGACGCCTTCAAACTCTTCAGCTTTTTCAGTGCCAATGGAAACGACAACACTGGAGAAAAGCAGCACGGTGACCTGCTCTTCTAGCACATGCAACGCGTGATTCCTTGGCGTTGTAGGGGTCGGCAGCATGTTTTTTGAGGTTAGTCTGATTGACTCAGACCTCAGGTAGATGACAGTGCCGTGTTGACTTGGAAAGTTCATTCCAAGTATCACATCCCTGAAGCAATTTTGTGAGATCCGCAGGATAAGTCTGGTTATTGATGGATTTTGGGGCCTTGCCATGCAGTCCTTACTTTTTTCAGCTTCGTCTCGAAAGACCCACTGTCGATGGAATAGTCGGCTTCAGTATCGACAAGAGCAGTGACGAGGTGGCCGTCGATTATGTCAAGGTCACTGGTTCTTCGGCGTGCGTTGTAGTTGGGTCGTGGCGTTGGGTCACGGCTATGTCTATTTGCTCTGCTGCTTCCATGTTGTGTCGTGTCGTCTTCTGCAGGCTGCGAAGGTTCGACGTCAGAACCCTTTTTTGTCTTGCGGTGGGTGCTTTCGATTTCGTGGCGGAGGATCTCGGGTAGTTTGTCATACAGAATCCGCACCTCCATCAGTTGCTGCCCTTAGTTTTTCGAGCAAGGGCTCGGAGATCGGCCCCGAACTGTGCCGGTGTACTGCCCGCGGTACGATGAGGCGTAGCGGCCTGGCAACGGTGAACGATACGATCGTCGGGGTGTCGACTGCACTCCTGCGAAATAGTCGGCGATGTCATGCGGTCGTTCACCCCGTTCTGGGCACGCCACGTTGATGTCGAAGCCCCGCAGACGCATCTGTAGGTACTGGCAACAGCGGTAGGTGTGCCCGGCTTCGCACCAGTGGTAGCAGAGTGGCCGGTTATCAGGTGCACGCCAAACGTCAGTTTTCTTCGGCGTGCTGCGCTGGCCCGCTGGGGAGCGGTAGGACGTCGAAGGTGGTGGTGGCAGGGATGGCGTCTGGCGACGGAAGTGCGACGGGGCCGTGTTTTGACGTGGACATGGAGAAGGGGCGTGATGGCGGGCTGTAGCAGCATAGTTCATGACTTGCAGCTGCGGCTTTGGAGGCTGAGGAACACCCAGCGATTGCTGGATCTCCTGGTGTACGACGTCCGCGATGTAGTTCACGTGCGACTGCGCTGAAGAAAGCAATTTTCGTATCTCTTCTTGCACAATCGCTCGAATCGTCTCGCGCAAGTCGGCGGTTCCTAGCGTTTGCATGTCGGTGTAGCTTAGAGACGAGAAGCTACAAGTATATTGCCGTGTCTGCATCTCGAGCGTCTTCTCTATCGTAGATGCTTCCGAAACGAATTCTCGCAACCGTTTTGGCGGGTTCCTGATCAGCCCGGTGAAAAGTTCTTGCTTGACTCCTCACATGAGCAGATGGACCTTCTTTTTCTCGGACATGTCGGGGTCAGCGTGGCGAAAAAGGTGGTTCATTTATTCCGTGAAAATGGTGACATTTTCGCTGGACAGCTGCGCCCGGGTCTCCAGCAACGCAGCGGCCTTCTCTTCGGAGCGACTCTCGTGAACGTTTGCAGGAATGCGCCGCAGAAAAGATCCTACGTTTTAAGGGCCGACTCCCGATTCTCGAACCACGTCCTTGCCGCGTCTTCTAAATAAAAGTAAACTCGACATAGCTTCTCTTCCGCATCCCAGTGGTTTAGGGTGACCACTCAGTCGTAGGTCTCTAGCCAGGTCTTCAGTACTTCAAACGATGACCCATGGAAAATTGGTGGTTCTCTTGGCTGCTGCATCACGATCGCGAGCTGTGGCGCAGCAGTCGTCATCGTTGCCGCGGTCGTAGTCATGGCCTTGGTCTTACGAGCCTTGTCTTGTAGAGGCCCGTACTCCAGAAGTAAACCCTACTGCCTGCGGCTTGTTCGGTGTTCCAGGCTGGCGTCGGTGTCTTCACGTCATGGGCTGGGTTCACGGCTTGACGGGGACGTCCGGTACATGAAAGAAGCAGCACTTCCACTAGATGTCACAGGGTCGCGACGTGGAAAAAGGGAGCAGTTGCGGGTCGAATAATACACTGTTTATTTGAGCCGAACTTGTGGCCACGTAAAAGGAAAATCAGGTTACAACAAGACACTGGCACTAATAGCGGCGAGCAGAGCGTCGTTCGTTGATCAAGTGGCGACGCGTGTCGGCATTTATACCCTTGCCATCGAATTATAATGTTATTGCTAGCGGTAACGTAGGTTCCTGAATAATCTTTGATGTTCCCGAAGTTGGGGTAATCTTAACAAAACGATCTACTAAAGCCTCGAAGCTTCTCGAGTATCGTAGGCGCTGTTTGCGCTGAACGTGTTGTAACAGGGTGATAACAAAACTTGAAAAAAGGAACGTGGCAACGTTAGGCTTGTGCGAATAATGATTTTATTCAAATAATTTTCCCTTTTATTCCTTATATACATAAGTCCCCTTTTTTTCCCTATATACATAAATGACTTGCCTTCAAACCTAACCTGTAAAACCTGCCTGTTTGCTGATGACTGCGTTATATATAACACTGACACTTCAAAACAGTCATCCTTACAAGCCAACCTAAACTGCCTCCAGGAATGGTGTGAGCGCTGGCTCATGGAACTTAACCCGAGTAAATGTAAAGTCGTTTCATTCCATCGCCGCCGCATGCCGCTTGTGTATCCGTACGCAGTTAATGCCATCTCCCTAGAAAATGTTCCGTCATACAAGTATTTGGGCGTCACTCTTTGTAGCAATCTTTCATAGAACATACACATCACTAATATCATTTCATCTGCAAATAAAACACTGTGTTTCCTTAAACGCCATTTACGCCTCGCTCCACAACACGTAAAATTACAAGCATACAAATCCATCGTTCGACCTAAATTAGAATACGCATCGCCAATTTGGGACCCTCAACAATCTTATCTTACACATGCCTTCGAATCGCTTCAAAACCGGGCTGCTAGATTTATTCGCTGTTCATACTCTTCCACTGTCAGCGTATCTGGATTGAAAGCAGAATCTGGTTTACCAGATCAAGAACTTCGCCGTCGTATTGCCAGCCTGTCATTGTTCCACAAACTTTTTCATAGTTCCTTGCATGCCCCACCTTATATAGTTCCCGCAACACGCATATCTCACCGCACGAGCCATTTGCTTCAAGTTGCTCGGCCACGTTCCCGGACTTCTACTTTTTCTGCCTCGTTTTTCCCACGTACCGCACCAGACTGCAACAGCCTTCCCAGTGAAATCGCAACCATTCCCTGCCCATCATCATTCATAGAAAATATCAATAAGCACTTTCTATGTTAAATCTTTGGCTTCTATGTTTTGTCTTTTTAATTACCCACCCCTTATGTAATACCCCCACGCGTGTCTTTAAGGAAATAAAATGAAATGAAATGAAATTTTGAATCATATTTAGATAGCATCTATCACATTGTAAAGAAAAATTAGCATATTCGTCACGACCCAACTAACCTGCACAGTGTTTTTTTTTTTTAATAATTGAAAAACTAGTTCTGTGCAAAAGCCATTCTTTTTGGTTCAAAGAATGTTAAAACAACTTTGAAAAGTAGCAGAATTTGATTTTCGTTCGAATGCTAAAGATAATCTGTAAACAATGTTACATTTTAAAGTTTATTCTACTTGGAGCATATAGGCTGGTATAACAATCTATAACAAAAATGATGCATCGGTGCGAGGGTAAGATGTTCGTTTAACCTTGAAGTGGGGCTTTGAGACAGTGCAGATTTTTTTCTGAATAAGTGTTTTTATAGTTTAGCACCCATTTACCACAGTGAAACCACCTTTACAGGGGAAACCACCTTTACATGCAGAATGTATGGCTGGTTTGACTAGTGAAGGAGGTGCCCGCTTCCTTGTACAGCGCTTCATCTTCACATTTTGAGAAAGTTACCTAGTATTAATCTATCATCCAGAACAGACAGTGACTTTGTATAGTGCAGTTTGGCTAGGTTAGCTTAACTGTGCTCACTTAGTAAGCATCTACATGAATTGGTGTTTCCATGTGCAATTTTTCATAAATTTTAAATAACTCTTTTTATTAAGTTCTAGGTAATTGCACATACCTGTGTCAACCAATGCACAATGCCTCTATACAATGGGTAATTGATTAAAGAAGTGTAAGGTCAAGTGCTCGTTTTCTTTGTTTCATACAATATTAATGAGAACTAACACACAATACTGCCAAGGAAAGTATTTGGGGTGTTGTTAAAGGTAGTCGTAAAATAAATGGGAACAAAGAAAAGGCGACAAAAAAATAACTTTTAACCAGCAAGAACCGAACCTGCGACCTTCGAATAACATGTACAATGCTCCGCGACTGAACAACGATAGCGGTCTTTCTTCCATCCACTTTATAGTGAATATATATGCATTTAAACTTGAGAGCATCAGTCAGGCAGCCAGTGAGTGTGGAACACTTTTTTTTTTTGCCTGTTGGCGTCACGTAGCACGTGATCGTGTTACGAGCTGGCAGCTGACCAGTGATTTGTCGCATACTAGCTAAAGGAATCAATTCTTTTAGAATGAGATCCTCACTATGAATGAGAGAAAGAAGGTAAATTTAAAGGCTAGCTTTTTTTTTGTGGTTACACAAAATATTAATGAGAACCAGCAGACAATGTGTTGTTATTGTAATGATATGATGAAAAATTTTATTGTTATATGGACATGCCCATATGTCTGATTTTTTATTTTTCCCCCTCTCGCTGCAGCAAGCATATCTTTGGAGAACTTGTTGCCATTACAGAAGATGGAAACGTGCTTCTGCAGCAGTGTGATCGAACGTAAGTTTATGCTTACACGGTCAATCCCGGATATATTGAACTCGAAAGGGATCGCAAAATAGTTGTATATATCGATAATTTAAAATACAAAACATGTGTATTTAGGATTAAATTGAAGCATTTCCGGCCTCTGTTATCATTACAGGCACTAACACAACGATTTGCTTGCAGTATAATAAAGGACAACATGCGAACAGCAATTTATCGCACGTTATTTCACATGAAAATAGTCCACAGAATTGTTTTGCTTCTTGCGCGCCATCAAGTTCGAGTCATCCTTAATATTGAAGTTTTTCAAATAAGCAAATTGAGCTCCTTCAGCCAAAACAGCGTTGGCTGATGCAGAATGCTGATACAAGCGTTGTAGCGTGGCAAAAGGTTGGTCAGCGGCGGCACAGAAAGCGTTGGCATATTAATAACCACACTGGTACACTACCGTGGCAACGGCAGCCATGATCTCAGCATCGATGCAGTCAGAAACAGCTACATCGTCATTTGCACCGATAAAGTCACTCACGGCGCACCTAAAGTTGTCTCCTGGCCCGCAAGGAAAGTTTACGGCGGTGCTTTACTTGACATCGCCGCAAGCGCCAGTGATAATTTTTATCTCTATGTGCGGGTCAATGTTCAGTTCAATTCCAGAATGAGGATTTGTCAGAAACGAGCTGAGAAAAGCACAAGTCTACCAGTCGCAAAATACGCAAAAAACAACGTCGAGTTCCCGCCGTCGACATGCTGGCGATATCGATGTCACTTGTGGCTTTGTTGCTGGCAGCCGCTGCTTTCAGCTGCTTTGATTTGAAAAGCTAGAAAAGGCGTAGCCTCTGAGATATGCGTCTTAAAACCGAGAACATCAAAAATACGTCACAAAATTCCACATCTTGAAGGCCATGCTTTTCAGGCTCTCATGCCATTGTGCACTAACAAACAAAAATGAAATACGAACATCGCAATGAGATGCCGAGCCACTTCTCATTCTGGTGTCCTCAGCAATCGGTCTTTTTGTAAAACACCAAGCCCACGTTTTACAACTGACAGATTGTTCTTCAAACATACCCGTAAGCATTTTCATTACCTGCGCATAAAGAGGAATCGGAACTTATTAGAATGCTGTTGTAAATTGATCAATATTTGCTAGGAAAAGTGCTTCGGCGCGGCGCGGTGTTCGATAGATGTAGTGAATGTCCCGCAGTGCATGAGTTCGATATATGGGTGCATCGGTCCCATACGTTTACATGTAAATTTCAAGGGGATTGCTTGCCTGTTCGATATAGCCAATAATCCGATATATCTGAGTTGGATACATCTGGGATCAACTGTAGTATATTGTATCAAAAATTCGAAAGCTTACATCACATTCCGGCAATCAACATTGCTCTTTTAGTCATGGGTCATATACAGCCGGCGCAGCATCAAGTCATGGTCAGTTTAGGAAAATATACTTTTCTTTTCTTTCTCAATTTTATTGAAGTTGATTTATTGTAGCACTGCTGTATTATTAGAACATTCTTTTGGCGTTTCCCATGCAAAACGAGCTTTTGGTGACTACAGTTCTGTTAGCAAATTAGATTTAACAACCTTTTTTATAAAACAAAGCAAAGTGTAAACTATACCGACTTTGTTATATTGAGGTTTGTCGGTATACTCTTAAATAAGCATGCACTATACTCAATATCATGAATGTGCTCTTTTGTTAGACACGACTTTGTTCGCTAATAAACATCAGCCGTACAAGTTCAATGGCAAGGGTTTTAAAAAAATGAATAAATTATACTTTGCAGTGAACCTTCGTGGAGAGCTTCCGTGTCTCACGAACGTCCATCCAGCAATCAGTGGTGGTGCACTAGTTTTGGAAGCCATCCTAGACACATCTGCTACATGGACCGCTCTGGATTGTACAGCCTCGATGCGAGACGACCAGTATGGCTTTTGTTTTGCTACTGTGTGAAGAAAATCTGTGCATATGTTCCATAAAATTTTTGCGCTGCCTTTCATTGGCAGTGAATTTGAGTTATTTCACTGCTTGAGTAGCTTTTGTGGTATCGTAACTCTCCTATCGGCTATTGTCACAGCTTTTCTTGAAATTGTGCCCCAAGAGACCTGTCATAAATTCTATTCAAGAAATTTGCTTTCTGTAAATAAAAAAATTCTACCTTTTTCTAATTTAAAGATGCCAGTGTGTCAGAATGAAGCGAAAACGAAAAATTTTATTTTTGACTGGAACGAGAACTCTGTTTGTAAGCTATCCATGTTTTGTTCTGAAGTGAAACGGAAGTGTTTTCTATCGTTTTTGGTTCATGGGCAAACTTCGCGATTTGGAACTTTGATCTTGCAACAGAGGTATAGCCAAGGGAAGAGTTCAGTTTCCCCCCAGAATTCAATTTTGCTTGCGTATAACACACATACACATAATGCACGCATAAACACAGTACATAAAGTATGGTTGCCCCCCTCCTCGAAAAATTTCTTGCTACGCCCCTGACATGCAATATGAGCAGTAATGCATATATCAGGGGGACAGTACTAGCACGTATCTTTGGCAGAAATCCCGTAGTAAAGATGCTTTAAAATTTTGTAAAAAATGATAAGAGGGGCAACCAAAGATATTTGTTTTAGTTTAGGCAGATTTTCATGTGCGTGACACGCACATGAGAATTTGCACACAAGCCAACATGAAGAGGGCATTCTTGACGCTTGTGTTTTATCAGAACAGCGGTTTCACGTATCAGATATGCACTCAATGACAACTGCTTCTGAGATCATGATCATTCCATTGACACATCGCTTTGACCCTGCTCAGAGAGTTCGTGATTCACATTGTGAAAAGTAAATATTGCCACATTGAATATGCAGCACCAAGATAACAACGAAGAACACGCGCAGCAAGAGAATAAGACGAGGTTCTCTTCCGATCAGTTTGCCAGTGTTCTGGTACAATTAAAGTGCGTTTCCTGTATTCGACTGCTGCTGTTTCTGCATTGTGACACTGGTGGAGGCGCTGGGTACATGTTCGGGACGCCTGACAACAGCCCCGCATCTAGTCCAGAAAGACTTCCGCGCATCGACACCCCCGTTCACCGCAGCAGCCGGCGCCTGTTAGGCCTCAGCCCGGAGTTTGGTCCATTGCCGGAAAGCGTGACTGTGCCAGAAAGCATTACGGCGCCTGGAAGCACTGGCCCCAAAATGTCCAGCCCAAGCACGACACAGGTGACTGTTTTGAACCCTCGACTTCCGGTTGACTTCCATGGAAACGGATATGAGGATGCACATGACTGGCTCGAGGAATTCGAGCACTTAGCGAATGTTAACGATTGGAACACCACACAGAAATTGGGCTACGTTTATTTTCCGCTTCAAAACGGAGCCCGAACATGGTTCACGAATCGCATGTGGTCGTCTTGGGACGAGTTCCGGCAGAAGTTCCTCGACACGTTCGTGAGCACTGAAAGACGAGAAATCGCACAGCGTCTCTTCGAGTCACGGATTCAGAAACCAAATGAATCTGTTACGATGTTTGTTGAGGACATGGCGCGGCTATTTCGTCGAGCAGATCCTAATATGCCCGAAGCCAAAAAGGTTAGCCACCTCATGCGGGGCATTAAGGAGCAGCTGTTCGCTGGTCTAGTACGAAACCCGCCTACAAGTGTGGATGAATTCTCCAAGGAGGCGACATCTATCGAACGCGCACTGCATCTACGTTATCGCCAGTATGACCGCCCAACCCACAGTGCACCGATCAGCGTGGCAGCCACTACCACAGCAACAACACCGGACGAAGGTTCTTTGCGCCAACTAATACGAGAAATCGTACAAGAAGAGGTCAAGAAGCTCATCGCACAACCGAATGACTGCGCGATCACTTCGGTAACGGAAGTTGTACGCCAGGAGATCAGGCAAGCGCTCTCGCTTCCTGAGCCGAACACGAGCACTCCCAGGGCAAGCTATGCAGACGTAGTTCGCCGACAGCCATCAAACGTGCAGACACCACATCAGTACCACCAGCAACATCCGCCGACAGCGCCTTGGTACTACAGAGAAACTTCGACGTTGAGGCGGCCACCACTTCGCAAAACTGACATCTGGCGTACCCCTGATCATAGGCCCCTGTGGTTTCACTGTGGGGAAGCAGGCCACATCGTTCGTTATTGCCCGTATCGCGCCGCAGGGTACCAAGGGTTTCCTTCGACGGTTCCTCGGCGCCATTTCAATGGAACACCTGACGTCGACAGGAGTGTCATGACCCGGCGGGATGTTCCTCCTGGGTTCGGTCACGCTCACCCTCTCCTGGGCGTTATTCTCCATCCTCTAGACGGAGCACCACTGACATGCCAAGAGGGAGATCTCCTAGTCCATGCCGGGGAAACTAAAAGCAGCGACCTCAGGGGGGAAGGTTGCGAATCGTCGAAGTGCTGAAAATCCCCCAATACTGCCGAGCGAAGAGAGACACATTTTCACTGAACCGACGAAAGATGGGGTTGTTACTGCCGAAGTTGCAATTGCGATTGACGGACATGACGTCATGGCATTGGTCGACACTGGCGCGGACTTCTCAATAATGAGTGAGAGTCTGGCAGACACGCTCAGGAAGGTTAGAATGGAATGGACAGGACCACAGATTAGAGGAGCTGGAGGGCAGCTACTCACACCTACCGGAAAGTGCACCGCAAGAATGAAGATAGGGGATGCATCCTTCGTCGCAACTTTTGTTATCCTTTCGGAGTGTTGCAAACAGGCAATCTTGGGGATGGATTTCTTGCGTGAATATGGTGCCATCATTAATATTCTGGACGGTGTACTGATCTTTTCAGCGGATCAAAGCGCAGCGCTACACCGAAAATCACTACGAGTCATTGACGATGTGACCGTACCTTCGTTATCGTGGCGCCTTGTTTTAGTCACGTGCAGCGAGCAGAATACTAGAGAAGGAATCGCTGAACAAGTATCGACGCTCCTACTTCTCGCGGTGTTGCGAATTGCCAGAAGTAGTCGTCAATGTTGTGTGCGGTGAAGCAGAGGTTCTGTTGACGAGTTTTACCAACGAACGACGACACATTACACAAGGCACTACAGCTGCCTACTTCGACGAGATCACCCAAATCCGCGAGTGCTGTGTAGTACAACAGGACGAGCCGCAAGCCATATCAGCCCCACCACCTATTGACGTAAGCACGGATTTGTCACCAGCACAGAGACAGCGTCTAGTAGACCTTCTTCACCAGTTCAAAGACTGTTTTTCATTGACCTCGAGGGTCAGTCAAATGCCACTGACGAAGCATCGAATAATAACGGAGGAGACGGCAAGGCCAATACGGCAGAACCCATACCGCGTAGCACTGAAAGAGCGTGGAGCAATCCAGGAACAAGTGAAGAAAATGCTCGATGATGACGTCATCCAGCCGTCGAGAAGTCCTTGGGCATCGCCGGTAGTGCTGGTTAAAAAGAAAGACGGAAGCTTGCGATTTCATGTCGACTACCGTAAGCTGAACCGTGTGACAAAGAAAGACGTATACCCATTACCGCGTATCGATGATTCACTCGACAGGTTGAGGTATGCACGCTACTTTTCGTCAATGGACCTCAAAAGTGGGTACTGGCAAATTGAGGTCGACGAGCGAGATAGAGAAAAAACAGCTTTTGTAACGCCTGACGGGCTTTATGAATTTAAAGTCTTGCCATTTGGATTGTGCTCAGCCCCTGCAACATTTCAGAGACTGACGGATACCTTTCTGTCAGGCCTTAAGTGGCAGACATGTCTGGTCTATCTGGACGACGTCATTGTTTTTTCAAAAACATTTGAGGAACACCTGAGCAGGCTGCTATCGGTATTCAGGGCAATAAGGTCTGCCGGCCTGACACTGAAACCCGAGAAGTGTCATTTCGGTTTCAAGGAGCTCCAATTTTTAGGCCATGTGGTGAGCCATGAAGGTGTTCGACCTGATCCCGATAAGATTGCGGCCGTCAGAAAATTTCCGGTACCAAAAGACAAGAAAGCAGTCAGGCGTTTCCTTGGCCTATGCGCATACTACCGAAGGTTTATTGCCAATTTCTCCCACATAGCCTCGCCGTTAACACGACTCACAAGAGAAGACGTTTCGTTCACATGGGGCGACGATCAACAGGTGGCATTTGACGATCTCCGACAACGCCTGCAGACTCCGCCTGTGCTTGCTCACTTTGATGAGGATGCTCCTACCATGGTCCATACAGATGCCAGCAACGTGGGTTTAGGCGCTGTACTCGTCCAGTGGCAAGACTCAGCCGAGCGTGTGATCGCATATGCTAGTAGGACGCTTTCCCGCGCCGAGTCCAACTACTCCACAACGGAAAAAGAGTGTCTTGCTGTCGTATGGACGGTTATGAAGTTTCGTCCGTACCTCTATGATCGTTTCTTCTACGTAGTCAGCGACCATCATTCCCTCTGCTGGCTGACCAACTTGAAAGACCCGTCTGGTCGGCTCGCACGGTGGGGCTTACGCCTTCAAGAGTTTGATATGACGATCGTGTATAAGTCCGGACGGCAGCACGCCGACGCCGATTGCTTATCAAGGTCACCGATAAAGCGCGATGATGACACAGAAGATGACAGCATGGCGTTTGTAGGAGTCGTTGACACCACTACGATTTCGTGCTAAGCAGAAAGAAGACAGTGAGTTGCTTCCCCTTATTGAATTTTTGAATGGCCGGGCAACAACCGTCCCTAGAAGATTTGCAAGGAGTCTGCCGTCATTCTGCTTACGTAGTGGGGTTCTCTATAAGAAGAACTTTTCTCTCAGAGGAAGCACCCACCTACTTGTCGTTCCGACGTCACTCCGTGAGGAGATACTTTGTGCTTGCCACGATGAGCCAACATCTGGTCATCTCGGATACACACGCACATTGGCCAGAATCCAACAGAAATACTACTGGCCAATACTTCCAGCTATTGTGAAGCATTACGTGCGTATGTGCCTCGATTGCCAACGAAGCAAATCGCCACCGTTAAAACCAGCTGGACTATTACAACCAATTCAAGTGCCCACAGTACCTTTTGCCCAAATTGGAATGGATCTCCTTGGACCGTATCCGACATCCCATGCTGGCAACAAGTGGGTAATAGTCGCCACTGATTATCTTACGCGCTACGCGGAAACAAAGCCTTTGTCAAGTGGCACCGCCGTTGAAACAGCACGATTCTTCGTAGAAAAATATCGTCCTGAGGCACTGTGCTCCAACAATCATAATAACGGATCGAGGTGCCGCTTTCACGGCCGCGCTCCTAAAGACAGTGCTAGAGCTCAGTGGAACAGCCCATCGGAAAACGACTTTCTATCATCCACAAACCGACGGCTTGACAGAACGCCTCAACAAGACTATTTCCGACATGTTGAGTATGTACGTTGACATGGATCACAAGAACTGGGACAACATCCTACTGTACATCACGTTCGCCTATAATACAGCACAGCAAGAAACTACACGAAGAATGCCGTTCAGTCTCCTTCAGTGGCCGTGAAGTGACGACGATGCTTGACGCCATGTTACTGCACGACTGCAATGACATCGATTTGGACGCTGTATCTTTTACCCAACGAGCAGAAGAAGCGAGGCAGCTTGCACGCGTCCGAATCACCCAGCAGCAAAATTACGACGCCCAACGTTATAATCTGCGTACACCGACATGTCGTCTATCGGGCCGGCGACAAAGTCTGGGTATGGAGTCCTATCCGCTGCCGGGGACTGTCTGAAAAATTGATGAAGGAGTATTTTGGCCCTTACACAGGTTTACAACGCCTGAGCGACGTTAATTACGTGGTCGTTCCTGACAGCTCCTCGACAACTCGCCAGCCAAAACCAGAAATCGTGCACGTTGTCCGAATGAAGCCCTACTTTTCGGACTGATTTACACCATACATCTACTACACCGTCCTTTTGTAGAAGAGCATAGGGACGCTGCTCTCTGGAGGGGGGCAAATGCCACATTGAATATGCAGCACCAAGATAACAACGAAGCACACGCGCAGCGAGAGAAGAAGACGAGGTTCTCTTCCGATCAGTTTGCCAGTGTTCTGGTATAATTAAAGTGAGTTTCCTGTATTCGACTGCTGCTCTTTCTGCATAGTGACAATATTACTACTTGGAAAGTTTATGCTAGTTGGTTGGAATTTGTAGTAAATTTGCTTGCAGTTACTAATGATAGGTGTAAAGAATGTGTTTTACCCCTATCCCATATTTTTAAAGGGCCTCTCACCAGGTGCGACCACTTTGAGCTGGCGAGCACAATGCATACACCGGGCATTCACTGTCACGTCTGCCAAAATTTACACCGCTATGCGTCGTGGAAATAGATCAAATTTCAAGCTGAGCGCTGCCCTCTTGCCTGCAAACTGAACACTTGTCCTTACTCTCGCGGGTGCGTGCCCAGAGAATGAGTGGTTGTCGTATGAGGAAAAATGGCCCTATGTAGTTGGTAGCGCCTTGACGTCCTCTCTACCTACCTGCGCTCCGACATAGCCCACTGTAGCAAGTGATACTGTGATAATTATTTGACACATGTGAAGATTGCGTAATTTTTGGCTTGCATAGATGAATAAAACATGAGAGTAATTATAGAACACCCAAATGGATTGTGTTTGTTTCCATTTTTAATGTGTACTGTGAATAGCAGCGAGATGCGAGACTCATATGCCTCCGTTTTGCGTGCGTTCATATGCTCGCGCTTTACGCATTGTGCAGACATCACCCCTTACAACAGAACTATGCTCAAATTCTGATATAACGAACCTAGATATAATGAATTATTGGTTATAACGAAGCAAAGAAAGAATAGTCTTGTCATAAATACGGTGTTACAAACCTATGTTTATAACGAAATTTCAGACATAACGAAGTTATTTTTGTGGAAGACATGGCTTCGTGTGTTGATTGATATATGAAGTTTAGCATCCCAAAACCACCATATGATTATGAGAGACGTCGTAGTGGAGGGCTCGGAAAATTTCGACTACCTGGAGCTCTTTAACGTGCCCCCAAATCTGAGCACACGGGCCTACAGCATTTCCGCCTCCATCGGAAATGCAGCCACCACTGCAGGGATTCGATCCTGCGACCTGCGGGTCAGCAGCCGAGTACCTTAGCCACCAGACCACCACGGCGGGGCGACTTTGTGTGTTCCGGCGCTGGTTAGGCTCATTTATCCGGCGCCGTCTAACTAAATGTTCGTACGGCACGGGCTGATAATACTGCTAGTCTCGTGTCTGTACAAATTACGCAGCTTTGGTGACAAGTAATAGGTTGAAAGTTAATTGTTCGGCGAGGGTGCATTCTGCATAGCTTGCAGAGATGAAGTGCAGGGAACGCCTCTACAACAACGCTCTCGTCTCGGGGGCTCGGGTTAGTTCAGGCAAGTCATTTGCTTATGACCTCGTATTCATATGACATGTTCATGCGTATGTGTCGTGTGATCCTTACATTCGTGCACTGATGAGGTCAGGGAAAGGATTTGGCTTGCCAGGGCTACGCGGGGAAAGTGGCAAGGTTTTAAAGCTCGTCTTCTCGCATCATGATTTTGTGCTGCTTGAAAACATTTGTTTTCCTCAGCTTTTAATGAACTGATCAGAAAAATTGTTGTGTCACAGTGCTCTTTATTCAGCGCAACAACTGCCAGTGTCTAAATAAAATTGACTGTGTCACCTGGTGAGGGCCCTTAAAGAGGAAATGCCATTTGAAAAATGCAAATTTTCTCAATATTACATATTTTTTGTTGTTACTTGCTTTCACTAGTTTAGTTACTCTACTTTCAAGACAAAAAATATCAAGTCTGTAATTAAACTCGAAGTAGGTTAAAACCGTATAAAGAGCAGAAGATGGCTAATAAAATTAAAAAAAAGCTTATTTTCTAAGGTCATCTCAAAATTGTCTACTTGCCATAGTCTACTTGCCATAGTATTGGCTACTTGCCATAGTATTTTGTATAAGAAGTTCACGAAAGCCACATGCTAAAAATAGCTACGATTTCCAAGCTGTCCTGATGGAAGAAATCATTTCACTAAGCATATGTTTGCCACTGTTGATGAACTTTTGAGCTTTCATTTCTACGCTTAAAGTGTTTTTCACTGATATGCAATTTTCGGCAACTTCTTGAGTTCGGACATCATGTTTTTGTACTTCTGATCGCCAGATTGGGACAAACTTTTTAACATGTGCAGAGTGAAATTATTTTGTTTAATAACCTCATAACACTTATATATTTACTATGAACTTAAAGTAAGCAAGTAGTATGGGCTGTGCACTTTAAGCATTCTCACATTACAATTTTTTTATATACATTAAAATGTCTTATAAATACTTTTTTTGTTATTTATTTAGCATTCTACTGTAAAGGTAGAGCAGTGTGAGTGAATAATGCCTCATAATGATATAGGTTTAGTGACATAAAAACTGTGCCCAAAAAGAGTGATATTATACACATTGCTATGGTACAAAACAAAAGCTATGCGACTTGCTACAAAACTGATTATACTATATATCTGAAATCGGCATAAAAACCAATGTATGTAGCAGAAATCTCATTGCCCTGTGCTACGGATTTAAGAAACATTTTTTTCGAGTAACATCTTCCCTTAAGAGGGGCGCAGGTGACTACACAAAAAGTCCTATGTTTTTTCAAACTACATTACGCTCGAATTCTCGCATTCAAAGAAAAAATCATTATTGACAGTCACAAAACTTTTTTGTTTAAACGCAGCATTTTTTTCTAACACCCGGGAGGACGTTTTTCTTTTTTACCTCCCCCCCCCCCTACTAAAGGCAGCATTAGTCGTGGTTCATGGAAGTTGTTGGTTGTATACTGTATTGTGGCTTTCCTTTTTCACGTGGCTCGATAACATGCTTTTTGTCTACTTTTGCCATCTTTTAATTGCAAACTGTGCTCATGCCTGCTGATCACAAGAGCTGTTGGGCAGCGATTCGCTGTGCAAAGTGTGTATTTTATAGTGAAAATAGATGGTATTTCGTTTTTTTTTTTCTTCCTTTCGTGAAATTGGAACAGTCATTCCTATTGCTTTTTTGTTGAAGGATCCCGTAAATTAGTTTAATTACCAGCTTATTTCTGTCAGACTCTGTGACAGTGGTGCAGTCTTTGTTGATAGTGACTATCTCTAATTATTTGCATTGTTTTCCGTGCTGATATTTCTGTATTAATGACAGTCACCCAGCTAACCAAGGGGGCACTGTGTATACTTATTTTGCTGTAGTATCAGTGATATTTCCTGCAAAGCTAGGAATGCAATGTCATGCTCGTTAGACATTCAAGGCATGAATTTTTTGGTTGGGTTCCTTTTTTTCTTCTATTAGTCATTTAAAAACAAAGATATATTGTAATATTACCCGAAATTGCCGTTATTGTTGCCTCTTTTCTACCCCTCTCCGCTTGCTTTCCTGTTTAGAACTTAAGATCTTTACGTTTAATATTTTAAAAACATTTTTTGTATAGTACTTTGATGAAAGGTTTTTTTTTTTTTTTGCTTTTTGTGGTACAGGTGTTTACCTATCACTATTGAAAATCCTCACAATATTGAAACATATGGGAGTCCCGGACATGTGGTTAGCAAGATACATTCTGGTGGGGAAAATATTTAAGGGAACACTTAGTGAATTCCCCAATAATCTTTGTTTCATGCCTCTAATGTCCGTCTTCTTTTTTTTTTTTTTTTTTCCAGGGTTCTCGCAAGCACACATTTTGCACTATACAACATGAAGCATTTCTGAAAGACGAATTCATGTTGTTCGAACCAAACCCTCTTAACTGTCATCAGTTATACTTGGCGAGCTCAAAGATGTTGTCGGTATGGGATGAGCGACACACTAGACAGCCAGTAAGTTTAGTTGTTTTTTTTTTCCAATCTGTTGGTAAATAGGGGCTATCAATGACGCATATTTCGTTTCTATGTTAAGTGTTGTGGTCCTGCCTGATAGGGCCCCTAAAGGGGTCGTGAACCACCCTATGTGCTTGGTGAAAAGCACATCTTGTGGAAAGCAGACACTGCTACGAACAGCTCAGCCAGGTCATGCTGTCGTGGATGGCAAGGACAGTTTACAAGCGTAACAAAACGTTGCCATTTTCTCAGGTGCCCTCTTTTAATACTGGTTTCTCTCTTCAGCGCAGCCGGCGCCTGCTGTTTGAGGCTAAACTACGGATAGCATGTTATGGCTAAGAGCCAATATAAATCAAGAGCAGCATGTGGATCAGATGCGCATCTTGTCATGAGATGCTGCCAAGTGCTGGAGCCACTCCACAGTTTGCTAATGTTAGGTGGTTGGATTGGCTCCATAATTAAAGAAATAATCAGCCTTATGTTTACAGCCATGCTTGCCATCAGCAGGATCACTGGCCGGAGGTGCAGGCTTTTGTGTCTCCACCTCCCAAGTAGAAATGCCACAGCTTTTTGAAGTGTTACTAGACTATACTTTCATGCATGATAGCAGTAGAAATAACTACACTAGTCTGGAGGATCCTGCTCGTTTTATATCTACTGTCGGCCACTGGCAACACCTTGAAAGTCTGGTCACTGACATCAAGTAATAACCACTGGCCCTCGAATTATGGAAAAGAGGTCTGTTTCACACATTTGCTAGAGAGATTCGCATGCCACGCACACCTACAGAGTTGGGTTGTTGCGTTTGGGACTCAGTCTCTTATCCACCATAACGTGTTATCTGATCAAGTCAAAGGGTCAGTGCAGAGCCTGTTTAATAGCCTGAAAGTATGCTCCTGAATTGCTTTGTTGGTGGTATTCTAATAAATATAACAGAGTGTTAAGCTATAGAGAGCATATGGGACATTATTAGCTGTTATTAATTATATTGTAATAATTATGACATACATTAAGATGAATTAAAGTGGAAAAAGCATACCTTTGTCATTGGTGGGGCCCATACCCATGACCTTTGAATACCTTTGAATTACACATTTGATGTTCAATCATCTCGGTGACAAGTGACAGGTGTTCCGCCATACACTTTGTAGGGCATTTATGTGCACTTAATCCAATGGGTGTTAACCAACGCCACTTGTAGCCAAGGCAGTGAGTGCGAAACACTGTTTTTGCCAGAGGGCGCGGTGTAACACGTTATCCTCACATGAGGTGGCAGCTGATCAACTGTTTGGTAGCCGACGACAAAGGTGTTTTTGTGTTCATTTTGATTCAATTCGATGCATGTCATAATTATTTCACTTGAGGTAAAAACGACAAATAATGTCTATCCTTTCCTTCCTTGGCTTCATTGTTTGCTTGATTCATTATGTTGTATTTAACAAAGAAACAAGTCCCTGATATGTTTCTTCTTTGTTTGGTGGTCAATCATAGGTACTTTCATTGTACACTATTGTTTTCTTCCAGGTTCTGACTTGGAACCACTGCTTACAACATTCGCCAACATTTTTAGAATTCACTCTTTTCCAAGACTTTGACGATCGAAGCCATCGTGATCTCTACGTCACGTTGGGCTCACAGAGGTCACGGCAGGTTGCCATCTTTCATGTTCGTCAGGACTCTCTGTCCGTTCAGCCGATTTCCCTAGTGCCCCCATGGCACTTGTCCCGGCCAAGCGATTTCGCAAAGCACCTTGAACATCAAGGGTGTACCATAGATGAACATGTGCTTAGGCGAGTCAAGGCCCCACTCATAGGAGGCTGCATGGTCGACTGTGGGAGCGGGGCTTTCTCAGCACTGCAGCTGACGTCATACGGAGATATATTCCATCAGGCAAGTGAGCTTGACAGTTGCCTTATATACTTTTCAAAGCATATACAGTAAAAGCTTGTTCATTCAGATGTCACGGGACCTATTCGCACCCATATTTGCGCCGCTTGGTGGGCATAAAGGATCGTCTGAATTAATCTAGTTATGGCAAGGCAGGTTACAACCAAATTAACCAGACTTTCATTTTGTTTACCGGTGTATATGCTGACCAGGACTGGAGAACATGTCCGAATTATCACATTTTTTCTATTAATAAGGGTCGAATGAAAAAGCTTTTATTGTATTATTACAACAGAGTCTGTCCCAGCAGTTCTGAATTATTCAATTGGTTTTACTTTCCTGTTAGATATCACTGTCTGTTGGCCTCACATGAAAGATGGTATCCAAAAGCTTTAGTTATATAAAGAAGTTATAGAGATGTTCACATAAAAGTTTTTGTGCAAAATCAGAGTCATTGTCACGCATTCTTGTCTTTGTTCCAAGTATTTTTCTTTCGGCGGGCTGTAGAAAATATGAACTTTGTATGATGAACAAACTAAAGCCCAAGGTGTCACAAAGCTCCTCAATTTGAAATGCAACATTGCACAATAATTCTACGATGAAATGAACACTGCCTGTGAGGATGGAAGCCCATCATTGACACGATTATGCGGTGAAAGAGGACTTTTTAAATGGGCCACGTGTCCCGGACAGACTAGCCACGAGTGGGTAGTCCCTCAATCGAGGATTATCCGGTCATGTTGAAGAAAATGCAGGTCGTGATCTTCTATGACAGAAGATTGATCATCGAAAGTGGATGGTGCAGACTGCATGGAACTGCAGTGGAAAATTATTCATGGGGAACTGATTTGAATAAGGCACCTGCACACTGAGTACATTGCTTGATGTCACCTCTTCAAAAGTGAGCTCGCTATGACTTTTTGAAGAATTTGACACAGATGGTGCGAGGCATCCATTGTCGCTGCCCACTGGTTAGGCTATGAACTTTTGCAGTGTTCACCTTGTTCACCTAATCTTGCACGCATCGACGTCTTCCTCTATCCTGAGATGAATAAACCGCTACGTGGTTGGCGATTTGACGACAGAGAAGATGTTATTTTTGCGGTAGAACAATGGCATTAGAAAAAAGCAGATGACTTTTACAAAGAAGGCTCGCAACAGGTAAAGAAATGCTGGCAGAAACGTGTGACTGTGCAAGGAAACTACATGGAGAAAAAATAGTATTGACCACTGGAAGTGACTATTGTGCTTATTTATGTCGTGGGTATAATTAAAGTCTTTAAATACCACCTTGTTGATAATTGCCAGGTACTGATAATTAAGCCCCTCATTTTATTCTCATTCTGTACTTAAAGGGACAATAAAGGCAATTATCAAGTCAATGTTGATTGCTGAAATAGGGGTCCAGAAACCTGGTAGTGCTACTTTTGGGCCAAGGAAGTGCTTATTTTCAAATAAAGTTACGTTTTAGTGGTCCGCATTTTGTCAACATACTTCAAGTTCCCCACTTGAAAGTGACCGTCTCACGTCACTGTTGTTGTGCACAATGTTGCCCTGCTTTATGTGCGGCCGCCGACACTAGTTGCAGGAGAGCAAAATGAGCAGCAGCCATAGCAGCAACAATGGCCATTGAACAGTTTTCAGCCATGTTCTCCAAGATGGCAGGCGTGCTTGGTTAAACTGGAGCCCACTAGGTGGCACGACCTGTCCAGTTTAGCCAGGCAAAAATTGAAATTTTGTACAACTCGTGCCATTTGGCGTAGTAACATCCGGCGGCTCTTTTTTCCATGAATGAAACAGAAACGAACAAGCAGCATTTTATTTCATCTTTGATGCACAGAAGGCTCTTAGCTTAGTGCAGCTAGTTCGATTACTAGTAGGCGGTAAGTCTGACATCATCGGGATCATTTCGCGAATGTCCTAATCGTGGCACATGTGTTCTCGTGCATTACCTTAATTTCTTCGCAAGTAGGGCACTGCTGTTAATAATGTTGTTTTAGACGTTGTCATTCATTGAGCTTTCAGTCTGACATAAATCGTTATTACACTTTAGTGTCCTTTTAATGACCCTCCTGACCCTGCTGGCCATCATTACTTGATATAATATGTTGGTTTATTGACCAATTGCTTGCATCTAGCCTCTCATGCTATGCAGAGTCTGCAGTTTAAAGTATATTCTATGTTCACTCCGATTGCCAGATGTGGCACTCGTAAACACCCCCAGAACTAGAATGAATGCATGTATGCTAATAGTTAAGGATGTGGAGCAAAGACAGATGCTGTTAAAGCGTTCAATGCATCCTGCAGAGATATTTTTTTGTTTATAACATCCCACTTATTATTGTTTTAACGGGAATTTGTAACTAATTATGCATCTGCGGAAAAGGTACTAACAGCCAACATCGTGGAACTTCCTTCAGTTTTAGAAGAGACATTTGGGCTAGATAGTGGTTTTTACTTCTAGTGGAAAAACAGAGCTAAAAAGACAGATAAGGGCTAAAAAAGGCATGACACAGGCTCCTTGTGTTCCATATGCATCTACAGCACAGACTCATCGGGGCTTGCAGGAGCTGTCAGATAATCATCTTCAAACATGCACACAGCTTCACATAAGCAGCCATTACTGCTTAAGCAGCCTGCATGACCTTGGCTCCATAAAAGCAAAAGCACAGTGGCACGCTTGTAGTAAAGAAAAAAACCTCGGCAGGCTCAAAAAAAGCTATAAAGAAAGGACCAAGTGTGTTGTTATTTCCTTAAGACTTCTTACAATCGCCATTTTTTTTTTTTAATTTTTGCAGGACTTTGTGTGGGACGGCGATAAGCCCTTGTGCAGGAGTGACTGGAACTTCAGTGCTGGCTGCAAGCTGCTGCCAGTTCCAGAAATAGAACAGAGAGTAAAGTGGTGGACTGACCTTGTCATTGCTACAGACACTGTCAACAAGGATGGACCAGAGAAGCATCCACTGCTTGTTAATCATTTCATTCAGTATCGAGGTAAAACATAGACATCCCCGTGTTGGCAAATGTATATCCAAAGCATTTTTCTCAACCTTGTCTTCTGATTTGATCGCTTGCAATGTTTTTTCTCTGCTCCTTGTCAAGAGAGAGGGAAAAAAATATGCAGTAGTGATGCTGTAGTGGAGCTTGTACTAAACTCAACTGGCTGCCCTGATATCAGGTAGAAGGGGAAAAAAAGATAATGTTCAGTTGTTGACGTAATGAAAACATAGCTCCAAGAACTTGTTCACTGAAAAAGACAGGCATTGCTAGTATACATATGAGGCATTCCATGGTTTCCTTTCAACCAATGGCATTGAGATACGCTCTGTCGGCTATGCTTATCAAGAAGGAGTCTCCAATTATTAATAAAGTGCCTGGTTGCGGACAACAGAGAATTGTTCATTTTTTGAAAGCCTGTAGTGATTAAGCTGTAGGTAGGCTCAAATAAGTGGCACAGTCATTGTGATCGCTGCCGTATGCTAGCCATAAATGTAATTTAAATGTTATTTTTGTGAATGTAGTTATCATGAATGAACATTATATTTTACTTATGTTGAAAAAATGGTTAGAAACTAACCACTGCCATCAGGGGCATAGCCAGGAGGTGGCACACTGGGCCTGTGACCCCTGCCCCCACCCCCCTGAAATGTTTTTTCGCCATGGAATAGATAGCAAAAAATGCCCATTTCAAGGGGGTGCACCTCCTGAAATCAAGGAGGCCCCCCCCCCCCCTCTTCTCAGAAAATGTTTTCTGGCTACGCGCCCGACTGCCATTGATACCACTGCCAGCTTGCACTAAGCTGTAGTGGTGGTAATTTATGAATAAGTGGGTTTTTTATAGGGGCTAACATTCCTGTGAAAGCAGAATCACACATCTCATGAATTGGTATTTTTGCTACCAAGAAACATGAACATGTTTGAACTCCAGAAAAATTCACTGAAAAAATGGAAACCTACCATAGTGACTCGGGAGGCCTTTATCTTGCTGCCAAGTTCTAGGGGTGCCCAGCACAATGTGGCCACCATGCTGTATTGTTGCTGCTAGTTCACTGGCTGAACGTACAGCAATGTTCCATTCGCTGGTGTCCACTGAGTATTTTCGTATATGTTTGTCACTCTGCTATAGCCATCTAGAGGCACTGAGAAAGAGGAAACGATGCTTCTAGGCCTTCTGGAATTGACATTTGCCTTTGCATCACAAACAGAAGACATCATTTGCAAAACGTGTTGAATAACATGAACACAGCATCTTGTTCTGGTCTCCTTGCCGCGGTGGTGTAGTTGCTAAGGTACTCAGCTGCTGACTCGGAGGTCGCGGGATTGAGTCCCGGCTGCGGCGGCTGCATTTCTGATGGTGGCGGAAATGTTGTAGGCCCATGTGCTCAGATTTGGGCGCACGTTAAAGAACCCCAGGTGGTCCAAATCCCCGGAGCCCTCCACTACGACGTCTCGCATAATCATATGGTGGTTTTGGGACGTTAGACCTCACATATCAATCAATCATCTTGCTCTGGTCGGCAGTGGCAAAGGGCTCCATGAACAGTGGTGCCTCATATAAGTGCAGAACCAATCAGCATAGGGAAGGGATATCTTGCTGCATGTGAACTAGCTGCCAGGGGCCCTAAATGTCAAATGTCTGCGTGTGAATATACTAAAATATACCTGACAGCTTTTCGTACCACCTGCATGTGTTTCATACTGGCCCAACCTTCAAATCTTGCCCGCATTCTTTATATATTTTCTTTTTTTAATGGTAATTCTGTAGTTTGTATGCCCATTATACCGTGCTTGTCCCTTTGAATTGAGATAACATGTCAAAGGTGAACTCTTTGTGTGCCTTTTGGACAGTTCACAATATAGTATAGATTTTTTTTTATTTTTTGCAATGTTTTTCATTTGGCATTTAAGGCAGTGTTTTTTATGTGGCATTGATTTTTTCCCAACAAAAACTGCATTTGCAGGTCTGTGTACACATGGGATTCTAGTTTGTCATTGTCCATAGAAAGCATAGGCAAAGCACTGGAAATACACATGCATGCATGCATGTTGAACCTAACTTACGATTAAGACAATGCAAGGCACTATGTATAAGGTCTTATTCATTCTATCCAATACCTTGCAGGAGGAGAAACTATTGAACTGAAATAAGTACTAAGCTAGCTAAGGTTTGGGTTAATTGAGCCACGCTTGCTGTTTAAAAAAATTATGTTCCCAGTGCGCTGAAGTATTTATAACACTCCTCTAAAATATTGTCATTGTCTTTTTAATGAAGAGCTGTTTGTTTGCTTTCATGGCTATGTCATCGGTTTGTTCTGTGGATGTATCAAGGAGTCGCTTCGGATGATAACGATCCTCTGACACAACGCAACAGGGCAAAGCTTTCCAACCTGCAAAACATGATCATTCAAGCCATGAATGAGGTAAGAGATTTAGTTCAACCTTTTAGTGCATACATTTATTTCATAACCATGTTTGCATAATGGAAAAGTATCAGGGTGCATTCAGGTCCTTGAAAACCTTTAAATTTGAAAAACTGTATTTTCAAGGCCCTTGAAAGTCCTGGAATTTTTGCCCCATCCTTGAATATCCTTGAATTTTCTGAGCACTCCCAACCGACATTGTGGCCTCCTTTATGTGGCAGATCGGTACACCTGCCAAGTCTCCTGGATTTCGACCAGTTTATATGTTTGTACGGCTGTCGGGAAAATCTCTCGGAAATCGAAATTTTTGTGCGTGATCTGGCCACATTGACAAAAATGCAGCCCAATCCAATCCAGGCATTTTGCGAACCCATCGTATTTCATTGTGAACGAATTTAGGAGGCATTAATCTAAACGTACAGTAGAGTCTCAATGATGCAAGACCGGCAGATACACGAATTCGTGAAATTCCCCAGCCAAGTTCCGCTATGTCTATTGGGCCAAAATTGGGATGTTCCGAGCTCTTTCTCTAATCGCGGCGGGTTGTATGAACTTCAGTGTCGAAACTGTGGAACGAAGGCCGAGAGCAGTGTGCTCGAAGCTTCGGAAGGACATGCGCAATCAGCGCACGCACTGTCAGAATTGCGATTATCTTTTCCCACAACCGCTGTGTACGAAACCGTGGTCTCTCTTGAATTGATCATGTGTGGTGATTACAGAACTCTGAAAGTGCAATGCCTTCAACGCTCGACCAGTTAAAGTGACAGTTGCGTTCCACAAACGCTGCGGACAAAATCGTAGCATATGTGATTATAGGAAGCAAAAAATGACGCGGTTTTGAAGGTATTTGCGCAGCCAGCACACGTGGATTGAAAATGAAACTACAGGTTTCTGTAATTGCCACACCCCAAATCGCAGTGCCTGACACGAAACACGCTCTCTGAGTTTTCTTAATTTCATAGACGCCATTCCTCTCAGTGTACACTAGCACAAAGTTCTCGTAAAACCATGTGTAACACCAACGATGCTGTCAAGCTCTCGTTGCAATGGCCTACACTACCGTCTCCCGTATGTCACCTGGCAACACCTTCGACTGTCGCACCATGTTTGGCCTAGCAGAGAGATCACGCAAGACGGCGCCTCTGGGCAAGGGAAACACGATTTGTTTTTCACGCCTCCCCATTCTAGCCACCCTAGCATTGGCTTAGCCATAGCTTCGCGGTGGCAGGTGGTGTTTGTACGTTTCTCTGTCAATTGTTTGATAGCCCTGTCATCGGTCAGAATCAGTGCAAAGAGGGCTTTTTACAACCTGAAATTGTCGCAGACAATTGCAATCACAGTGCTGCTGCAGAATTCAGCGTGGACCAGGCCTGCATCGTCAGGTGGAGGAAACGGCGGGACCAGGTGCTCAAGGGCGTCATGGCTCACAAGAAATTCATGGGACCGCGCAAGGGCCGACAACACTAAGAGGAAGTCTGCGAGTTTTTTCACAGCGAAAGAAACAGGGGTATTGCTGTCACTGACAATGCCACCCAGACGAAGGTGATGGAGATTCCTCGCGTGGTGTTCTGCGCTAGCCGTGGCTGGGTGGAGCCCCTGATGTGAAAACCAAGCTGCTCAAGAGCAACTGTAACTTGGTCATAATTCCAGGAGGCATGACACTAGTGCTGCAACCGCTGCATGTCTTAGTGAACAAGGCATTCAAGGCCCACCTTAAGTATGAAGAGTGGGCCCGGAACTACGACAAAAAAAAAAAAAAGCCGACGGAAGAGTTGCAAACAGTGTACCCCCCGTCCATCGTGGCAACATGGATATTAGATGCGTGTAAACGCATCAAAGTCGACGTTGTCGCGAAGTCGTTCAAGAAGTGTTGCGTCACGAACAACATGCATGGCACTGAAGAGGATCTGCTGTGTGGCATTGAGAGTAACGATTCGAATGGTGCAATGGACTCGAGCGGTGTGATAGACACGAGCTGTGTGACGGACTCGAGCTGTGTGACGGACTCGAGCTGTGTGGCGGACTTGAGCTGTGCGACAGACTGGAGCAGTGCAACGGACTCGAGCGATGCGACGGACTCGAGCGGCAGCGATAGTGACTAACCTGCTCCACCAGTGATGGGTTCGCTGTGTGCACCTATTTTTCTTTTTCGAATAAAATGCGGTTTCTCATGTTAACTTTATCCATATTTTGTCGCAAAAGGGGCCTGAGCTGTGCGGTCATCTTTCGATTTTTTCAATCTAAGCACCACCCATAACTTTTAATATCATGAAAAAAGTGGGGTGCATAGAATAGAGTAAATACGGTATTTTTGAAATATCTTTAATGCCATAGCAAAATTGACAGTCTCAATGGGTTTTTGCCGTCGCTGTAATGTCCCAATAGGGAAGATCCCCCAGCCCATCGTAAGTTCTACCCACTGGTAATAGCGGGCGAGCGGGTGCGAGTAACGCAGCTGGAACAGAGATCAAACCAATCGGCCCATCTCTATCACTCGTAGGGCACCACAAGACCGGCCCTCAAATGCTCAAGCAAAAAGGAAACGCCCCTCCTCTCTTTGATAAGCATGAAAAGACACAAAGGGGAAGGGGGGGGGGGGGTTGCTTGAGAAGCAACTGTAAGCTTTAATTTTACGGGCGCGCACTATCTCGCTACCTCAGGCAGCCATCGGCGGGCAGGTCGTGTACCCTTCTAAGTGCTGCGTTCTCACCACGCATAAACTCTGTGAAAAGTGTCCGTGGAATGGCTGTATTCTCTTACACCAGAGTTTTGTAGAGTCGCGTGAAATCAGATCCAAAAAAGAGGGCTGCCAGCCGCACTTCGTATGAGACTACTATTTGTTGCTATCACATTTATTGCTTCATCCTTGCAGTGACACTGCGACTTTCTTTTTGTTATTATACACTGTTATATATATTTTCAGTGTGGAAGTGCTGCTCCAATTGCTCCAAACTGCTCTAAAAGAGAAATGCTGCTCCGTGCTGCTTCAAACTGTGATTTTTGTCAGTAACTGCCCCAAACCTGCTCCAAAACAGCACTGAAAAAATGAGAATAATAAACTTTTGCTGTTTAACCATGTCATAAGTCATATAGACACTGAAAAGAACCTGAGTACAGTAAAGTCTTGACGATACGATTACGGTGGATGCAAATTTCATGATACAAATTTTAAGGTTGCTTCGGTTGGGCTACATTATATAAAATACACCGTGATTCTGTGTTATACGAATGGTTTTCCCAGCTACTGGAGATGACACTTACGCACGATTGAGTGCTGCACGCAAGCGACGCAATGCGGCTTGTCTGTGGGAGGAAGGCCCCATCACACTTGGCCTCAAAGGGACTGAATGCGGCCAAACTCACCGGAATTTTTTTCTCTTCACCGCAGGAGAAGTGGCCAAAAAACCGTGTCACGAGGCGGACACAAAAAAATTGGCCTGAGACCAATATTTCCGCCACGCGATAGCAGATCCCCTTTTGCATGGCTTTGGCTACACCGGCTGTGCTGGCTCTCAAACCATGTGATGTAAACAACCATGCAACCTGCTGTATATTCAAGATGGCAGCCAATGCCTCGATGGGTGCAGTCGGCGCAAAGGCGAACTAGTACCGGCGCAGCACAACGAAGATCACGGCCATGAAAGAGACAGTGTTCATCAAGAGCCTGGTTTGAATTACGATCGCTGTGAACACAGGAAGAAGGAGAAGGTGCAGCAGCAGGGAGTCGGCATGCCCTAAACGTGTCTCTCTTTTGCACTGCTGGATTAATCCATCGCTGCAGCTGTGTCTGCTTGTGTCATTTCTTTTGACGTATCTCCCGAAACAAAGTTTGTAAATGCATAAACTGTTTTTTTTTTTTCCCAGTGCTTTGTGCCTAACTAGAACTCTAGGGATTTTGATGCTCAGGAATAAATTTTCAAGTGGCAAAGACGACAGCGGTGGCATGTATATGAGGGGCAGAACGAATGTGAACATTTCCGATGGGCACGTACATGGTTTTGCGGCCACTCTGGCGTTTCGCTTGAATTCTCGCAAGTGAATTCTCTTGAACTGATTTTTTTCATATCGACTTCGTGGTGCATTTTTCTGGTGGCTTAAGCGGCGAAGCGAGTGAATTTTCAATAAGTTTTGCCGCTTTCGTTCCCTTTGATGCCAAGTGGGAACACACCTTATAACGCCAGCAGCATGAGTGAGGAAACCGTGGCACTTTATTGAGAGGTGGTGGAAGCAGTAAAGCTCAAAAGAACCTCATGGACTTCTTTCAGCAAAAAGTAGTTGACCCCAATAAAGTTCTTGTTCATCTTCGCGATCAGCTTTAGCTTGTTTTTGGTTCATACGAATTCGGGATAGTACGAATATTTTGCATGCTTCCTTCAAGTTCGTATCATCGAGACTCTACTATACTATCATCCCAGTATGCTACTAATGTGCAGCATTATTGGCTCTGATCTCATTTGTGCAAAATGCACTGGCATATTAAGGATGTAGCTCATTTTGGCAGTTTTTTTTTTTTTTCAACTTGACTTGCAAGCTAGTGTAGAGAAATATAAAAATGAGCAGGATTGATTTAATCTCGAACTGACTATCTACTGCTTATTTGGCAACAGTCATGTGGGACTGTGGTTACTTCTAACTTCTAAAATGTGGTGCTCGGCTTTATTGGTTTGATTTGATTTTTGTTATAAATACTAGTATTTTAATTATATATGTAGCTTATTTCACAGTACATTTTCGACAACCAGTCATCTTTTTACTTTATAGCTTCTTGAAATTTACATTGACTATTGTCTGTGAAGTATATCTTATAATAAAAATACTATTTACAAGATGGCGAATTTGGTATCTGCTCCCAAACGCCAACTAGCTGCTCCCAACTAACATTTTTCTCACTCCGAAAACACTTTTGGCTGCTTAAAACAGTACTTTTCCTTCCTCTAATTATGCTCGGAAAAGTAAGAAGTGACATATATTTTCTAGAAGTTCGAATACTTCGAATTGTAAAATTCCGGTGTGAATCAAATAGCTAACACTGTATGGAAAATATTTGGAAGTCCGAATATTCCCACACTTCTAGCTGTGAGTAGTGTTCACATCTGCCATCACTTGTGGCCAAAAAGATGTTTTAGGGCTGAAAAAATACAATTTTAGTATTAGATTTATTTGCTATAGAATTCGCTTCAATGGTTCACTGGTTCCCTAAAGTATTAGTCTTGTAATAATTTTTAAATATTAATATAATATGTATTACAGAACAAAACACTGTCCTCAGAAGAGTGGAAACAAGCCGTAACAGCAAACAGCGCAGATATCTCGCAAGATGAGAGTGGTGTGGATGAAGCTAGAAGCTCGTTGGAAGCCATCCACCTTGGTACTTGGGATCGAACTGCGAGACGCTATCTTGAACTTTGGACAGAAACAGTTGAGTATTGCTTTTCTCTACTTTGGAATGTAATAGTAGTTCATTACGCTCCTAATTTATTGGCCTCTCTGCTTTTGTGTTCCTCACTGCTTGGCAAGCTCATGCGGTGGGATCACCATATGTCAGTGGCAAGTGTATACTTCTTGCTTATTACAGACTGGATGTCCACTAAGCACCAGTGAAAAGAATGAAGATGCAGCATGCTTCCATAATGGAGTTTTCACAGGACTGCACAGGTGAACAGAAGCAGCAGGAAGAGGAACAGCATCTAGAAATTCAGGGGAAGACCTGGCAGGGCGTGCTTCATGGCGAGGGCCCGGTTATGACCCTGACATCCAGAGCCGCCAATCCTTCAACAGATATGCTCTTACGAAATACTGAGCCTGAATACTACGACCCAAGCCAGCCTTTGTTTGACGAAAATGATCTCACGGGCTTGACGCAGGTGTCTGTGACACCGGAACTACGCAAGTCCCGACAGCAGAGTTTGTCGTTAAAGAAAAAAAAAGTCGTCATGGATGGTTTTTGAGGAAGCCAAAAGGCCAAATGTTGATGCCTTCAGCGTGCAGGCCTCGAAAGCCACCAGCTAGGTAGCAGGCTAAGCAAGTGCCACTCCATTCCTGCTATGTTGCATCTGTTCAAAGAATTGTCTTGACATGCTTCAACAACACTAAGTTAAAACCTCATCTACATCATAGTGACAAACGGACTTAATGAAGGTTACTGTTGTCAGTGTTTGGCACAATGTCTGGCTTTCTTTTACCCTTTCACGAATCTTGCAGGAAGCTTAAGAATTCACCATTCCTCATTGTTTCTTCATTCATTACACATCATCATTCACTGTCAATAAACACTGTCACAACTAAGCAAAGTCATTCTCATCTGGTTTTTCTTCAGCATTTTCAGCCATTAGTAGTGGCAATTGCCTGTTGTAAGATGTTGAAAATTTCTAGCGCCCTCAGGTACTTTCGTAGAAACTTCAAGGCAACACCCTTTTCATTTTTCTTACTGCTTCATTAAACCTTTTCTTATATCTTTCCCGGCTCGCATCCGTGTGTTGTCTTTATTGTTACAAATGCGAGTTAGAATCTGTCGCTACTGCCATAATGTTTCTATTTTCTTGTGTGTTCACGGGAAATTTAACACCGCAAAGACGAGGTGAATGTGCAGTTATAAATGATTAAATTTAGTCTGTATGTGTGCTCATACGAGCATACGCTTGAGCATACTTTGAAGTTCCAAATGTGGCATAACCCTAACATATGGAGACAAGGAAGAGACAACAGTACAAGAGCTAGCTTTCAACTAGATGTTTATTTTTACGAAGCAACAGTGTAAAGAGAACCATACACAGAAGGCCCAATCTACGCACATGAATACCTGCCGCATCCAGAAAAATCAGTTTATTTACAGATGGCAACACGGAGGGGCAGCTGACAGAGATTACCGGCCTTAATACCATAACTAGCCCAAAAAGCCACCTGTCTTTTGTGCCCGAAACAAATTTCTTCTTATGTTCCTGATGTTGCGCAATATGCCAGACAAAAGAACAAGAAGCTACATCAGTGTGTGGCTCCAACTGTGATTCCACTGCACGCTACTGCTGCCACTATGTAATATTGAATGAAAAAAGGAGGAATGGATCAAGGTCATCTTTATTTGTTGGACGCAGCCTGATGAAACCAACTGGCAAAGGAGCCAAGGAAGGCATAGGCTAATTTAGCACACAATAAAGCGTGATGCTGGCACGTGCAGTGCCCCATTGCAAGAAGCACATCTGATCCAGACCCCACGTTTGGTTTCTGCAATCTCTTGGCCACTGCCAGCAATCTGCTTCTATGATGCAATGAAGCCACACCCAACCTCTGAGGAGCGTAAGTACGGGCCTCTGTGTGAAGAGAGGAGGAGGGGAGGACAAGAACAACAAGAGGGAAGGAAGGGAGGTTAACCAGGCACATGCCCGGTTTGCTACACTACCCTGGGGGAATGGGAAGAAGGGCGCTTGAGAAAGTGACCAATTCGCGCTCGTCTCGTAAACTCTCCTCCCCATTTACGAACAGATTTGGCTGACCTGTTCAAAGCAGCAACTGCTTTCTGCTATGGATAATTTTCCCAGTTCACGTCTGTGCAACCAAATTTACCCTGCCACACACAACACAATGCAAAGCGTGTGGTGTGCCTCACGGAGAGCTCGGCCTTATCATATAGGCCTGTCCTGCAGCTATACAGCACAAACTATATATTTACAATCACCATGGCTGAGCAGTGGGAGGCACGTGCTTGGCGGACTAGGTCTGGGCAGCCCTGCTGATCGAGCACGTGTCCAGGATTGAAGGCCTGGCCACCACCTAGGGAAGAGGGTTATGGAGGGGGCCAGTCTTCCAGCCCCTGCCTTTCTTGATTCCGGCAGGGGTAAATAAACTTTATCTCTTTCACCAAGCACAAGGGAAGGTGAAAGCCTTAAATTTAAGGCTTGAACAAAACGTCAGCAGCTCCAATGTTTGCATATATATCCCCCGTTGTGGGTAAGCACCATCTAGTGAAGGAACATCATCATCACGACCGTTGTTGCGGCCGGAGGAACGTCGCCTCTCCATGGACTGAAAGAAACAACTCGGCTGCTGTCGCGTCAGCCTGTGCGCTTTGGCCAGCATGACGGTCCGCTTGGCCATCGTCGCGGTCCTGGTACTCTGCTGGTCATTTGCTGCCGGCGGCGGCGTCAGCGACGATAGCGGCCGTGGCTCCCACACCAAAAAACGGAACGCCATGATCGACTTACACGATTCGCTCGCAAAATTCGCGTCGTCGCTCCGAAACTTTGAGAGGAAGAGCCAGCAAGTGTTGAACGCTGCAGTGGCAGAGGAGGAAGGTGGTTGCGTGTTTCCGCAGGCTGCCGAAGATGGGAGGCATGTGGTGTCGGAAGATAACGGACGCCCCCGAAGCCGCAGACATCGTGGTCGTGGTATCGGCGACGTTGGGTCTTACGACGCTGAAGGCGGTGGACCCTTCAAACCTAACGGATATGCGACGCACAGCGCCGAGAACCTGGTTCAGAAAAGAGACGACGAGTCCGTTCGGGTGATCCGCATCAAGATTCTGCACCATGGACACGACAGAGAGGAAGACTACCACTCAGGCGTCGCTCGGAGGTTGCCACCGAAAACGACGCCATATCTGGTCTCACATTGGGTCACTGCGTCGCGGCATCGCGCCACCACTATGACCACTCGCACGGCCAAGGCGGCAATGATCAACAAGAAGTCTTCTGCCTTGACTTCTACAAGTACATTAGCCGCATATTGTGCGCAAGATGGTGCCGCGAGAGAAGTTCCGCAAAACCCGGAGGATCGCAAAGATGACGGAGGTGCGCACCGTGATGAGGAACCGCATGGGCACGATCAAGATGAGCAAGTCGCGTCCGGAAATGACGAGTCCCACACCGATGATGCGCAGCTGACGAGAGACGTTCACGAGTCTCATGCTGACGGTGAAGGCATAACGAACGTCGAAGACAACGGGTCGTTCAGGGGCCGAGTACGCGGAAAGTGAAACGTCGACGATGACTGCCACAGAGACACAGACCAAAGCAAAACCTTACATGCTGCACTCACGCGGAGATCATTTGCGTATTCATATAGTGCACAAGCCGTCCAACCCACTGACAGACGTCAACGAGACGTTCTTCGCTAACCATAGCTTCGTCAACAAAACGGGCCACGATGTGCTGATGGTGAAAACCGATGACCATTTCTTTGCCACAAACGGCTCCAAAGTGTTCAAAGTTCGGGAGGCGGATCGCCATCTATTTCCTGCAGGTGTGTCATTCAGCAATGCCGCGATGCTTAAGAGCGAAGAACAGCAGCCGTACCTCAAGGAACAGGACTATGTGGAAGAATTTGAGAAGCGAGTGAGGCGGGTAAACGAAAGTTTACAGCGTATTCGCAATTACCGCCAGCCACAGAAAGCAAAGATAAGAAACAGACGCGAGAACGTCCGCTCTATGAGGTCGCTCCGCCTCGCGCCTTCTCCTAAGCGGGCTGCCACGCCTTCTCGCAAAGCAGGGAACCAAAATTCTCATGTCATCGGCGCTAGCAGTGGCAACATCAGGATTATATTTAACAGGCGTGCGGACAATGAGAAAGGCATGCAGGAATCAGTCATTGCCAAACCCGCACCGATTGTTGCGGAAGCAAACTATGGCGGCGCGAAGCTACGCCGCAACATACGCATCCTCGACCCTTTGTCTAGGGAAATACCATTGAAGGGAATGGTGAAGCGTCACGTCAACGAGACCACTGCGCCTACGGAACAAGGTGATGACGTGGTAAACGTTGTTAATAGCTCCCAGAGTAATGAGCCATCGATGGACATGCTTGAGCAAGCGGTCACCCGCGTTTCATATGTTCAAGAGTCAGACCCTGTTGTGTCCAAGTACGAGCAGTACCGCTTTAGGGCGATTGCGTTGACTGCCGTTCTTGCAGCCGCGGCTGTGTTTTCGGTGTCGGCAGTTTTGGCGGTGCTCTACTTTGACTTGAACCGTCTTATTTGTTTCGTAAGAAGTTTCAAGTATTCTCCTCTTGACATGTCGTCTCCTCTTGACGATGACATTGAAGAGGTGGTTTCTTCAACTCCCTGAGCTGGTGAAAACTAAATTTCGTCTTTGTGCTTGTAGACGGGGTTGGTTCATGCAATTTACCTACCACCGGCGCAACGCCATGCAAGCTTTACACTGTTGTAGCACCGAAAGGCGGGCGAGTTGGAACTTATCCATAGTGGGCAGCGCACAAAAGGAAACACACAAGAGAAGGAATCAGGACAAGCGCTGGATGTCCTGATTCCTTCTCTTGTGTGGTCCAGCGCTTGTCCTGATTCCTTCTCTTGTGTGTTTCCTTTTGTGCGCTGCCCACTATGGATAAGCTTTACACGCCACGCGAGTGGTACTCGATTGCGTCAATTTCTGATTTGTTGAAACAATGCGATATTTTTTCTTTCGCTACAGTACAGTAGGACGGGTAGGTAATTGATCAAATTAGGCTGAGCGAACATTTGGAGTGCTATATACAATGTGCGCTCAATAAAACATCAGGCTGGCAAAGTATTGGTGTTCTGTGTGTTCCATTTAACAGCTTACCCCGTAGGGAGAGCACAAGAACATAAAGGGGAGATAGGGGGAGGCGCAAGGAATTGTGCTAGGGATTTGCGGGGGAGTGGGGGTTAAATAAATTGCCATTACGGCGGACAGCTGTTGCGATGTTAGGAGGTAGTACTGGAGAGTCGGACGTCCCCCACGTGTGATCCTGATGGTGAAAAGGGGGCGCACTAACATACTGACTTAAGATGACCGTCTTATAAATTTGTCTCCGTCTGTTAGTGCTCTTCCTTTAGAGCACCGCTCTTGGAC